GCCGACCCCGCTGGCCACGCGCACGCTGCGCCCAGGCAGCGACGCGACGTCTGGCGACACCCCTGGGAAGCAGGCCTCCAAGTGCCCACGGAATTCCTTTCGGCTGCACGCAGGAGTGGCCCGATCGATGATCCTCAGAACGTGTGCTGGCGCCAACTTGTGCTTGTCCACCGCAGCCCTTCAAAACGACGCAGCTGCTGTAATGAGGGCCGAAAGGGGTAAACGCACATTAGGCTAACACATGGCCTGAAGATCATTGACCCTAGTAGGCAAGATTGGCCTCCGGAGAAGGGCTTTAACTGTTCGGGGGGCTACGGGGGGCCAAGCAGGGAGCCCCACAAAGCCCCAAGAAACCTCAGGGAGTTCCCAGGAGCTCCCAGGCAGCCCCAGGACGCCCAAGGAAACCTCAGGGAGCTCCAGGAAGCGCCAGGACACCCCATGAAGCTTCAAAGAGCCTCAGGGAAGGCGCGCAGGACAAAGCTGGGCAAAGGGTCACTCCAGCGAAGGGTCACTCTCGCGTGTAGCCTGTCCTCCGCCTCGGGGCCGTCCGCCGGGCCGGCGTCGGAGACGAAGGGCAGGCAGCGGCTGTGCCGCCGCAACGCGCCCTCCGCGGGGGAGCCTGCCGCGGCGAAGTGGGCCAGCATGGCGTCGTAGCCCGCCCGCAGCACGGGGCCCGTGTGCGCGTCGCAGAACAGCGACACGCGCACGCCACGGCACGCGATGGCGCGCACCAGCGCCAGCGCGCCCAGGGGGCCTCGTGGGCGCAAATCCTCCGTTTCCTTCTCCTTCTCTTCCTCCCCCTCCTGCACTCCCTCCTCCTCCTCCTCCTCCCCCTCCTAGTCTTCCTCCTCCTCTTCCTCCTCCTCCTCTTCCTCCTCCTCCTCCTATTATTCCTCCTCCTCCTCCGCCTCCTCCTCCTCCCCCTCCTCCTCCTCTTTCTCCTCCTCCTTCCACTCCTCCTCCTCCTCATCCTCCTCCTACTCCTCCTCATTATCCTCCTCCTCCTCGTCCTCCTCCTCCTCTTATTAGTATGTTTGTGATTGGTATTCATAGTAAGATAACTATTGGCATTCGTATGCTTATGAATATTAATGTTACCAGTATTACAAGTAGCATTCGAATATTATCACTAATACTAGCAGTACTGCTGGGTCTACTATCAATCATATGTTTACTAGTGGGAGTAGCCGTATCAATAGTTGCGTGAGTACCATTAGTAGCAGTAGCACTGTTACGATTAGTAGTAGTTGTACTGTCTGTGATAAAAGTAATAGTGTTTGTATTCGTATGATAGTTAGTATCACGAGTATCCGAATTGTAAAGTATTGGTATCAGTCTTGTGAATCGTATTCTTGGTAGTATCGTTACTACTGGTAGTATTATGAACAATAGCTTAATGGGCGTCATGAATCGTTGCATTAGTCGTACGAGTAGTATAAGCAGTTTTATAAGTAGTAGTATTAATCATATTAATAGTATGAGTATCAGAAGTAGCGGCATAATGGGTATCAGTCACATTGCTAATCTTATTAATGGTATGATTCGCAGTAGTAGAATTATTAGTCGTATGATTGTTCGTGTTAGTTGTAGTAGTAGGAGTAGCCGTATTATCAGTAGTGATATTCCTAATAGTAATAGTACCAGTGTTTACAATAGTGGTTGCCTTACGACTGTTAAAAAATAATGTTACTCTGCGCGCTCGACTTATAGTTGGTGGTAGTATGCTTTAAACGTTTACCATGTATGCTAGCACTGTTACTTGTCTTATGGTTATTCGTAGTATGAGTATAATGCTTAGTATTCGGATTGTCCATAGTACTGGCATTCTTGTCATTCGCATCATTCGTATTCGTATAATCACCATTCGTAGTATGACCATCCCTCCTCCTCATCCTCCTCCTCCAATTCATCCTCGTCCTCCTCTTCATCGTCTTCCTCTTCTTCGTGTTCCACCTCCTCCTAATAGTCCGCCCCCTCCTGCTCCTATTCCTCCTCCGATTCCTCATCCCATTCATACTCCTAATCATTTTCCTATTCAGATTCCTAGTATTATTCCTATTCCTATTCCCATTATTATTCCTATTACAATTCCTATTCCTACTCCCATTCCTGTTCCTAATCATATTCCTATTATTCCTTCTCCTCCTCCTCCCCCTCATCCTCCTCCTCCCTCTCTTCCTCCTCCGCCTCCTCATCCGCCTCCTCCTATTATTCGTCCTCCTCATCCTCCTACTCCTCCCCCCCCTCCTCCGCCAACCCCTCGTCCTCCTCGTTTTCCTCCTCCTCCTCCTCCGTCTAATCATAATCATCATCATCATCATAATCATCATCATCATCATCATCATCATCATCATCATCATCATCATCATCATCATCATCATCATCATCATCATCATCATCATCATCATCATCATCATCATCATATCATCATCATCATCATCATCATCAGCAGCAGCAGCAGCAGCATCACAAGCATCATCATAAGCATCAGCATCATCAGCAGCATCATCGTCAGCATCATCGTCATCATCAGCAGCATCAGCATCATCATCATCATCAGCATCAGGATCAGCATCAGCATCAGCATCATCATCAGCCGCGTCATCATTATCAACATCATCATCGCCATCATCAGCATCCTCATCACCGTCATCAGCATCATCATCGCTGTAGTTTGCTAGCATCGCGGGTTCTTCGTGCTGTAGTCTTTGCGCTGTTGCGACTGCTTCTCGTGCTGCTATCACTTCTTGGTCGAATTTTTCTTGGGCGAGTGCTCTCTGGACTTCCCGTTCTGCACGTTGTTCTCGATGTCTTCGCGGGCGCTGCTCTTTCCATCGTAGTGCGGTCGCCTCTTGTTGCAGGCCTTGTTCTAGCAGTTGAATCCTTTGTTCGGCCATGCTGGCGCGTCGAACTTGTGTTTGCTCTAGTGCCGCTTGTTGTGCTTGGTAGTGGTTGTGCGGTCGGGCTGCGAGTTGCCGGCGGTACGCCTGCAACTCCAGTCGTAGCTCTGCAACGGGCGTCATGCATTATTCCTCTCTAACTTTTCGCGCCGTTTGTGGGCTGTGGCTTGGTCGCACACTGCCTTTGCGCGTTCTTGTTCTGCTTGCTGCAAGTCGGTGCGGTAGTGTAGCAGCTGCGTTGTGGCTCCTTCCATGTGCTGGTTTCTCTGCATTGCCTGGGCCGCTGTGAACTGTGCGTCCTCTTCTTCGTTAGTAGCGCGTTGCATTGCCAGCTCTACTGCGCGAATGGCTTGCTGTTCAAAGTTTTGTGCTGCTAGTAGCCGCTACCTGGGGTTGTGGCAGTCGGCTGAGGGGTAGCCATTTGCTGCATGGAGTTGTTGCACGGTGTCTTCTTCTCACTCACGTCGGCATGCGCTTGCACGCCGTCGGCGTTAGTCTGTTCGGCGAACCTTAGTTATTGTACGATTGCGTCGCTTGCTCGTAAGTCGTCGAGTGCCTTTTTGAATAGCGTCTCGAGTCGAACAACGTTCTCCTTCGCGCGTGGGCTTGGTGCCGTTGGTTCGGATGGTCGTAGTGGAGCTCTGTGTTGCGAATACTGGTTGGGTTGGATTTTAGGGGCTCTTGGTGATGTGTTCTGGCTCGGTTGTGGGCTTGGTGCGCGCTGTCGCTGCTGGATGATCTCCTTCTCGATGTTTGTGTCGGTCTTAGTGAGTCGTAGCTTGTCGTCGTGTCATTGGTGTGTTTGTTTGAGCGTGGCCTCGGAGGTCCTGGCGCCATGCTGTGTAGTCGTCTTTGAGTTGGCGCATGCATTGTACCTGTTCGTGCAGCGGCTTCTGGTCGAGTAGCTGACTTTTCGCAACTGCAGGTCGTAGGCGGCCTGCTTTTTGGCCACACTTTTCAAGAGCTAGCATTTGTAATGCTAACTACCTGATGATGACTGTTTTCGATACGGCTTCATGCCCCCACTTGAAGTGGTGTAATGCCTCGACGGTCCTTGTTCTGGGCGTCGTCGTAGAATGCCTCTGGGATGCTGTCGATGATATCCTTGGCTTCTCTGTCAATGCATGTTGTGTGGTCGGCGTTGTTGCCGAAGTTGGGTTGTGGTTGTAGGTTGTCAGGTCGGTTGCTTGCCTGAGATGTTCGCTGATATGTGCCAGGTCTTGGTGTGGTGGGCCTTCTATGATTGAGGTTGTGTTGGTGCTGGTATGCTGCGCGTGGACTGTATACGTTGCCTTTGTTGTGTTGCTACGTGGTTTGGATAGGGTTGTAGTTGGACGCCAGCGTGTTAGGTGTCTTGTATCCTTTGTGGCCCTTTGGCTGCCATGTTGCATTGTGGCATTCGCCGCGTGGCTGTTGGTGGTAATATTTCCATTTGCCTTTGCCTATGGTTTGGGGTGCTGATGCCTGTCCGTCTGCGTCGTCGATTTGGTTGTACATGTTTTATGCCGTGTTGAGTCGTGGTCGTTGTGCAGTGTGGTGTTGGTTAAGGCACTGTTGTGATGTGTGTAGATGCTGCTGTGTTGGTTGATCCAGCAAGGACCTTGCCGAAGCAATACGTAGTAGCGTGCGCGTTGCTGCTATGGTTTCCCTTTCCCGTCTGTGCCACGCTGGATTGAGAGCTGTGGTCGGAGCCGCGGTGGTTGTGAGGGCGTACGGTCTGGATGTCGAGGTCGATGTGGGGCGCTGTCCGTTTGACTGGTGTGCTTGTGCGTCCGATGCCGATGCCGATGCCGAAGCTGGTAGGCCTGGGCGTTAGACGTAGTTGTCGGTGCTGTTGTAGTGCGTAGCCAGATGGCCCAACAGCTGGCGCCGCGTAGCGCGAAAGAAAGTCTAGATGTGATAGGTGAGACATCAAGGCTGTTGAAGAATAACGGTATAGGTATAACCACCGGAAGATGGGGTGGTGGGGAATCGTGGCCGAGGGATCGGCATACTGCCACTGACACGCCTCAGTCGTTTGGCGGTTCATGGCTTCCTCCTCCTCCTCCCCTCCTCCTCCTCCTGCTCATCCTCCTGCTCATCCTCCTTCTCCTCCTCCTCCTCCTCTTCCTCCTCCTCCTCCTCCTCCTCGTCTCGTCTTGCCAGGTGTTCCCCTAGGGGCTTCCAACAGCAGCAGCAGCAACATCATCCCTCCCTTTCCCCCATCGTCATGGGCGAAAACATATCCGTATCCATGGGGCGCAGAAGGACATACCAGAAATATGCGCCCCCATTGGAGGCGCACGTCCGAGTCGAACATATGGTATAAACAAATATTATATCATGTCGTCACCCAGGTCTCATGGCCAGAAAAAGCCCACCAACGTGCATATACCATACAAATATCTTTGGGTGCTGCCGATATCCACGGCCTCGCGGGCCGGGCCCCTGGGCCGCGACCCCGCGGCTACGGGGCGTTTCTTCGCGAATGCCCCGCGCGGAACGTAGCCGTGCGACAGCGCATCCGCGGCATCGCGCCCCGGATGCCAGGCCGCGATGGCGTGGACACGGATACGCTCGCCGCTTGTGAGGGCCGTCGGTCTCGCAGCTGCCCCCGAGCGCCGCGGTGGCGCAGGGGCGCCCGTGAAGGACGAAGAAGCCGCTGCACACCAGGACGTGCCGGGCCCGCCCGCCCAGGCACGCCCTCACAGCGCCCTCCAGGCTCACGGCCGCGTCCGCCTCCTCCGCGCGCCGATGAATGAGCTCGATGTTGCGGCCCGCGTGGCTGCCGCTGGAGGGATAGCCGGCCTGCTGGCCAGCGAGCTCGCCGCCGCGGTGGCGCTCCCAGTCGGAGGGGCTGTACGCGATCCGTCGAAGACCGAAAAACTGCATGAGCAACGACTGTTTGGGAAGCCCGCGCGTATTTCTTGGGTCGGCGCTTGACCCCCCTCCCCGCAGTCTTTGCCCCACCCAGTCCTGAAGGCGCGACCCGGGGAGGCGGGAGGAGGGCGCCAGCGCCGACACATCAAAAAAACGCGCGGACCTTCCGAATGTCTACGTGTGCGTTTATGTTCCAGCGCAGTTTGGGAGAAGGCAAAAAAGGAAAGGGGACCCCGCGAATCCTCACAAGCTCGACGCAAGCACCCCGAGAGGCGGGAGAGACAGCTTCCCAAGTACAGCAAAAATGTATCATCCCTGTTCGAAGAAAATCGCTGGAAATGTATGTTCATTAATAACACCCACCTCCCCCCAAATTACCCAAGTGCGACCCTACCTAGAAGTTGGAGCCCCTAGGAAAGCAGCATTAGTTGCTATGCTATGCTATGCTATGCTATGCCATGCTATGCTGCGCTATGCCACTATGCTATGCTATGCTATGCTGTGCTGTGCTGTGCTGTGCTGTGCTGCGCTATGATATGCTATGCTATGCTATGCTGCGCTATGCTATGCTATGCTGGGCTACGCTATGATATGTTGTGCTGCGCTATGCTATGCTACGCTATGCTATGCTACTATGCTACGCTATGCTATGCTATGATGTGCTATGCTATGCTAAAGCTCAGCGAAGCTGAAGGTAAGCTAAGCTAAGATAAACCTGGGCTAAGATGAAGCTAAGCTAAGCTAAGATGTAATAAGCTAAGCTAAGATGAGATAAGCAACGCTAAGCTAAGGGAAGGTCACTGGGGGAACCGCGGGGCGGATCCTGGGGGAACCGCCCGGGGCGATTTACACTGCCCGGTCCTTTCAGCACACACGGTAAGAACCCTTCTAGGCAGAGCCTAGGTAGGGAACAAAATGTTGGCTCTTTTGGGAGGGCTTTTACTTTCGCTTGTTTCCGCTTACCTTCAGTCGCATTCCGATGGCGGAGCCACCCCTGTCTTGTTTCCGCCGTCTTCTGCTGGCCTTCCGCCGCCTCCAGTCGAGGAAGAGAAGTCACCCAATCGATCCCTCGAAAGCCATTTCTGGAGCGCCCCAAGTCGTTTTTGTGTCTCCGGGCCCCTCCTAAGGTCCGCCCTGGCCAGTTTTTCGAGATGCGTCCCGCCGCGGCGACGAGGTCCTCCAGAGACGCCCACAAATCTCTAGAGCGGCCACGTCGACCAGCACTCCTGCCCGATCCCGCATCTTTCTTGAATCCAGGTTCGGAGAAACAAGAGAGAGAAAAAAAAAATCGGCCCCCAATCCTGTCATTGAGCACGCTGTCGCAAGACTCCCGATGGGAATGCAGCCGTGGCGACGAGTCCCACCAGAGTCGCCACAGGACCACAGAGGGCGAAATGCACGCAAAAACCTGGAGAGAGATCAAAGCGTCGAAGAAAACCAATGAATGATGAATTAAGCCATGCAGGGTGGAGGACACACTGCGTACAGCGCGGACGAGGCCGCAAGAGCCTCGCAAGAAACCCAGCCTCGAAAACCAGCGCAGGAGATGCCAACGGCGGGGAACCCAGAGCACCCGGAACGCAGCAGCTTCAACGGCCGCGGAAAGCCACCGCGCAGCGCGCGGAGCGAAGAAACCCAGGGCACCCTTACGAAAAGCGTCTGGTTTCTCGACGCGCGTCCCCACGGCACCTCCAGTGGTCGCGGCCCCCGAAGTCGTCCTTGGGTCTTCAAATCGCCACCTCCATCGCCCTCACGCGCTCGCTGGCGCTGGCGGCGTGCGCCGCGGCGGCCGACACACCGCCGCGGGCCGCCACGGGGCTCCGCGAGCGCCCCGGCACCGCCACCGCGCGGGCCCCTGGCAGGACGCGCCGCAGCATGGCCACGCACGCACTCCCGGCCCGAGCCGAGCTGGGACGCTGACATGGCTGTTTTTTCACGGTCGGGAACTTTGGGATGGCGTGTCGCGGCGGCGGCCCCGGCGGCACGCTATGCCTTGCAGGCGGATATCGTGCCGCTCCGCTCCGCGGGGCAGGAGGCTCGGAAAGGCTCGAGACGTGGACGCTTGGAGGTGGGAAAGTGCGTTGCGTGTCGAGCCGAAGCGTGGTGGGCCAGAACCGGCGGAGCGACACGCCAAGCCAGAGCTCCTGACCGCAACTAGCACAAAACCGACCGGCGCACAACTGGCTCTCCGACGTGTGACCGAAGGCCGCCAGGCAAGTCAGGAGCGTCACACGAGATGCCGGCAAGAGCGCACTCGCCACTGGGAGAGAGAGGGAGGCCCAGACCTTTCGTCGGATTGTGTTTGTTCGGTCCAGGCGTCTTTCTCCTCGAACTCGACCTCCTGGGGCCCCCTTTCGTTTCGAGCCCAGGGACCATCACGAGTGCATCTGGGACGAACACGACTATCCCCAGGGAAGGAGTCGAGACCTCTGAGGCAACGGAACGGATAACAACAAAAATGTCGTCGGATGTCTGGGGGGGCAGAGTCGGAGGCGGAAGCCTGAGCAGGTTGGCGAGTCCCTACATACTTCGCGACTAAGGGGCTTGGCTTTCTTGTTGAAGAGGGTGTTGCTCCTGGCGATTGCGCTGGCATTGCAGAGGGGCATGCCTGCACGCAGTTGGCCGATCCTGCCCTCTGGGTCCGCTGAAGCTGAGGGAGGGGGGGAGGAAGAGGAAATGGACGAGGAGGAGGAGAAGGAGGAGGAGGAGGAGAAGGGGGAGGAAGAAAGGAGAAAGGAGAAAGAAGAAGGATGAGAATGATGAGGATGAAAAGGACAATGGTTATGATCAGAATGAAGACGAGATACCGACGCAGTTAGTGATCAGGTTTACAATAACGACCAGGAGAAGCACAAGGAGATGGATCGATGGTGGACACAACCCTCTTTAGCAAAACACTGCTTTGTTGCGGACCAGGCGAACGCGCAGGTCGGTCGAGCAGCCCTCCTCAGAAAAGCACCCCTCAGTGAGAAGGCCCGGGACCAAACCTGGCGGGCGCAGGCCCGCAAAAGTTGCGGCCGCAACGCCCTCCCTGGAGCCAACAAAAAACAGTTCGCGAATCGGCTTGACAGGGTGGGGCTCCGTATCCCAGGTCGCCAAACTGCGCGCATCGCGCGCCGAGATGCGCAAGGCGCGACTGTCTTCGCGCGCTCGCGTCGCCGCCCTGGAGAAGGCGCCTCTCCATCACTCTCCAACCGAAGCCGCGATGCGCGAAGCGCGGTCATTTGTGCGCCGCCTCGGGGAATCTAGCCCATAAACCTCCGAAAGGAAGAGGGGAAGGACGACGGCGCGAGGCAGTCCTGCGAGGAGCAGGACGACGGCGGCAGCGGCGACGCCCCTGGAGCGCTCGAGGCCAGAACCTCCGAGCGCCGACCTGGCCGACGGCGACGAGGGCGCCTCCGCGACGGGCGCCAGAGGAGGCCCAATAGAAGCGCCAAAAGAAAAGCATCGAAACATCGACCCTCGATCCTCGACCCTCGACCCTCGGCAGCGGCGGCGGCGGCGGCGGCGGCGGCGGCGGCGGCGGCGGCGGCGGCGGCGGCGGCGACGACGACGACGACGACGACGACGACGACGACGACGACGACGACGACGACGACGACGACGACGGCCGCGGCCGGCGACGAAGGGCTCGCCCGTGGTTGCCGCCGCCGCTGCGCCCGACCGCGTGGCGGTGCAGGGCGCCGCCGGCGGGCCGGCCAGCGAGGCGGACCTGCGCGCGCAGCGGCGCGCGCGACGAACCCACGGACCTCGGCCCTCGGCGGCGGCTCTCGGCGGCCCTCTCGGCGGCCCTCTCGGCGGGCCCTCGGCGGGCACTCGGCGGGCCCTCGTCGGCCTCGGCCGGCCCTCGATGGGCCCTCGGCGGGACTTCGGCGGCCCTCGGCGGGCGCGACGCGCGGCCGCCGCGCGGCCGCCGAGGGCGCAGTGGCGCGCGGCGGTCGGCCCGCCCCGGGGGCGTAGGGCGCCGGGTCGATCGGTCGCGGTCCTCGGCTCGGTCAGCGGAGATGAGGAGGGAGGGAGGGAGGGAGGGAGGGAGGAGGGAGGGAGGGAGGGAGGAGGGAGGAACGCCTTCAACTCGATGCCGAGAAGACGGGTCATGGACGGGGTTGCAGCCAGAGCGCCTGAGCTGTACCACACCGCGCAGGCGTGGCTCGGAACGACTGCTACCACACACTTGCTCTGGAACGACGCTGACACAGCCCTCCCTATACGAGCCACGCGCGGGGTGGACCAGGGATGCACTCTGTCCCCAGGGCTATTCGCTATTGCCCTGGCGGACGCACTTGGCGATATCGCGGTAGCGCTCCAGCGGCTGTCCCCCGAGTGCCGCGTTTTCTCCGACCTTGACGACATCATGGTGTCTGGGCCGGCAGAACACGCAGACGCCGCCATCCAGATAGTCCTCGCGGCGCTCACGAACGCCGGGCTCCAGGTGAACCAGAGCAAGACCCAAGCCTGGACGAAGGATCCGGCGCAAGCCTTGCCCCCGACGGCGCAGCAGGCCCGGGTCGACACCCTCATGTGTCTGGGGAACGTAGCGACATGGCTGGATCAAGAAGACGAGAGGGTCCGGGTTCGCGCTGGCGACGACGGAGCGGCCGCCGTGGCCAGGGCCACCGCTTTTCGTGCTTGCCTGCAAGAGCTTCGGGATGTCGGACTTTCCGCTGAGGGAGCTTGGGTCCTCCTCCGCACCTTCGCCCAGGGCGCAGTGACTCAGCACCTTCGCGCCGCGTACAACTACAACTTAGCGTGGACTGACACTTTCGATGGCGCTGTGTTCGGATGCCTCGAAGACCTCCTGCAGGTCCCTCTGGACGACACGCAAAGACTGCAGGCCACCCTGCGGCTGGTCGACGGGGGGTGTGCCCTCCCTTCAGCCAAGGAAACAGCGCCGGCCGCGTACGCTGCGAGCTGGGCGCTTGTCATGCAGGACGTGGCCCGCGGCGCTGGGTTCACTTGGGAGGACTTTCGGGCCCGCTGCCCCTTGACGTTCCAATCGTTGCGGGAGCGGGAGGCGGAGGCGGCGCTGCGAACGCAGGGAGCTATGGGGAACGACCCGTTCGAGTGGCTGGACACTTTCCAGGAGCCGCAACTGAAGCTGCAGGGGCAGTGGGGCAAAGCGAGGTCCTCGGCTGGGAGGGAACGCTTGCTGGGAACGTTGGGAGAGGACGACCGACTCTAATTCCGCGGAACAGGAGGCCCAGGCGCCGAGGGATTCCTGCTCCCCCGTGAGGAGGGTGACCAGTCCATGCCAGATAAGCATTTCCTTGCGGCGTACAAGAAGCGCTTGCGGGTGCCGGTGTGCCCGCCCAGAGCTCGCTGCCAGCACAAGTACGCCGACACAGGGCTGCCGTGCAACGAGCCCTTGGACGCACGCGGGTGGCATGCCCGCAGCTGCCCTGCGGGGGGGGGTCCCGCGCAGGCCGCCACGACAACATGAGGGACTGGCACGCCCCCACGCACACACGCCTCACGGGCTTCTACGCGGTCAAGGAGCAGCGGGTTCCTGGTTGGGACAGGATGGACCCGCAGACGGGCGTCATGGAGGAGGCGAAGTTGGACGCTTGTACACGAGACCCCAGCACAGGTCAGCCTGTGTATGTGGATTGGAGCGTTACCTGCGAATACAACACCTACGGCCCTCGCAGGCGAGCTCGATCCAACAGAGACGGGGTCGCGGCGGCGCAGACGGTCCACGAGAAGCGCGAGCGCTACCCTCCGCAGCACGGGAACTTGGCGCCCTTAGTGTTCGAGTCGGGCGGCCGCCCATCCGACACGGCCGTCGAGTTCATCCGGTCGTACGGCCACGGGCTCGACGACGCTGACCGGGCCGTGGTCCTCGGAACGCTGTGGAGGCAAATCAGCAGACGCCTGCAGACCGGCAACGCCGAGATGCTGCTGAGTGCGCTCGGACGCTAGGCCGGCAGCTACCTGGGCACCAACCCTGCTGCCCACGTTTCTGTTCGGACAGGCACCAGGACAAGGACCACCGCTGCCGCGGCCAACACCAGCGGCCGCACCGACCAATACGGCAACCTTGGCGACGACAACCGCCACCAACTGCCGTAGACACCACCACGGCTCTTGCGGCCACCGCCACGACCACCTTGGCCGCCCCCAGCACGGCGAACAAACAACGCAGCCACCGCAGCCCGGCCGCCTCCAGCACTACTACCACCAGCCCGGCTATCGCCAGGGCCGCCACGACCGCCTCTCCGACCACCAGCACGGACCGACCACCAGCACTCCGACCACCACAACGACCACCGGCACGACCTCCCCTACCGCCCCCGCCCCCCGCCCCTTTCCGCTCTCTCCCCTCTCCCTTTCCCTCCTCCTCCTCTTTCTAAAGAGAGCCAGCGAATTAACCTGCTTCTCGGAAAGTCCCCGCCGGACTGACCTCTTTCTGGCATCGCCGTCGGTCCCCCTTGGGCGCTGGGGGTGCCGGTCCCACTCGGGAGCCAGCGGCGCGAGAGGGAAGAGGGAGGAAGGAGGAGGGAGGAGGGAAGAGGGAAGAGGGAAGAGGGAGGAGGGACGAGGGAGGAAGGAGGAGGGAGGAGGAGGACGAGGAGGAGGAGGAGGAGGAGGAGGAGGAACGGGAGGAGGGAGGAGGGGGAGGAGGAGGAAGGAGGAAGGGAACTGCCTCGTTGGAAGACAACCGTTTGATGACCCTGAAGAATGCCAAAACATTGTTCTCGGGATTTCCGCGCCACGGATCAACCTGACTGCTGCGTCCTGACGACCCCGAATCGTGCCAGAAAAGCCCTCGCTGGGACTTCACCACCACGAATCCATATTAACTGCTACACCCGCCTAACACAACTTCTGGTACGCTGACCATGCGAATCCGCAAAACTCTTGTAAGTTTTAAAACGAATGTGCGCAGCGCTACGGCGAGAGCGAGTTGGAAAAGGAACCGCCCTCAGTCCGTGCAACTCTTGCAAATGTTTAAAGCGAGTGCGCGCGGCGCTTAGGCGAGAGCCACTTTTTGAAAACGGCCCGCCATCAATCCGAGCAACTCTTGCAAATGTTTAAAGCGAGTGTGCGCGGCGCTAAGGCGAGCCACATGTTGTAAACGACCCCCCCTCAATCCGTGAAACTCTTGCAAAATTGTTGAAAACGAATGTGCGCGGCGATGAGGCGAGAGCCACATTTTGAAAACGACCCGCCCTGAATCCGTGAAACTCTTGCAAATGTTTAAAATGAATGTGCGCAGCGCTACGGCGACAACCACGTATTGAAAACGGTGCGCCCTCAATCCGTGAAACTCTTGCAAACTGCCAAAACGGATGTGCGCGGCGCTTCGGCGAGAGCCACATTTTGAAAACAACCCGCCCTCGATCCGTGAAGCTCTTGAACATGTTTAAAACAAATGTGCGCAGCGCTCAGGCGAGCCACATGTTGAAAACGGCCTCGCCGACGGCCTCGGCACGGCCCGCGGCGCCTCCGGGCCCGGCGCGACCGCCGCGGCCTGCACGGGCGCCGCGAGGCGCTGGAGGTCAGCCAGCTCCGCCTCGATGTCCATCTCGAGGCCCTTGCCAGCCGCCGACGTTGCGCCCCCGCCGCCCAGCGCGCCCGGCGCGAGGCCTTGAGGCGAGGGGCGCCGCCAGCGGCGGCGGCGGCTGGCGCCTCCTCCAGCGCCAGGCGGAGAGCACGGGCGAGGCCAGTGAGGCTCTGGCCCCTGTGCTGCTCCACCTCGGCGAAGTCGCGGAGGAAGCGAGAGGCCGCCCGCCCCTCGGCTCTGGCGTGCTAGGCGCGACGCCCAGGAGCCGAGCGGTTGGGGGGGCGGCACCTCGGCGCCGCGCCGCCAGCGGCAGCCATCGCCGACGGGCCGCTGAGGGGAGACCGACACCGAGGAGGGAGAGGGAAAGCGGAGCGGAGGGCTCCGTGGCGCTGGCTCAGCGGCAGCCGAGCCAGGGCTCGGGCCGAGATGGCGCTCGGAGAAGGAGGGGGTGGAGGAGGCGAAGGAGGAGGAAGGAGAAGAGGAGAGGAAGAACGAATCAGCAAAAAGGAAGTTAGCGAATTATCTTACGTTGGCCGGTCTCCCCGGCGCCTCCCGACGCCAAAGGCGGCCATGTATACATCGAGAAACGTGCGTGACGGCGGGGCCGAAACCATCGGCACGCAGCAGATTTCGCAAGCCCCGCCCCCCCCCCCCAGTCCCCCCCTGCGTCGGGCCAAGAGGGCATCAACACCGAAGCTGGACTCAGGATCGTCGTGAGCAGGATCGGCGAGGTGGTCAGTCAACGACCCCCTGGAGGGGCCCGAGGGCCTGAAGGGCACGGCGAGCGAGGACGCCGAACGCGGGCCTCACTACGGTCAGCAACTGTTGATTAGTGTGTCGCGGCGGTGGCCCCTGCGAGACGCCATTCCTTGGAAGCTGATAGCGCGTCGCCCCTCAGGTTGCACTCGAAGCGGAAAGCGAGTCGCACTGGAGGTCTGGAAACACTCGGAACGGTGATGGCGTGTCGCGCCGAAGTCTGGTGGGCCGAAGCAGGCGGCGCGGCACGCTGAGCAGAAGTTCCTGACCGTAGGCCGTGCTCAAGCGAGAGACGGAAGGCACGCACGGTGGGCATGTAGAAGCCCGCAGTCACGTGTCAGACAAGGGGGGGACGATTCGCACCTGTGCTCCCCGCAGTTGTTCGACTGTGAGTGGCCGTGCCTAGTTACCTCCGCTGGCCACAAAGTCCGACTGGGAGGGGCACGACACAGAGCGTTGAGGGTGCGGAGCGATGGACTGAGCTGTGTTTGGTATCGCATTGACGTGCCCCGCTCCAAGATTCTCAAGTTTGGAAACGTTCGACTGGCCAGCGGAGGAAAAATGGATATAGTAAGCAAGGTGCTGGGAAAGGAGTGCAAAGATCGGCGGTCAGCGCCTTGATATGTCTGGCGGCCAGGGCGCGACAGCAAATGAAGACGCGTCGCGCATTTTGAAAACTCTGGGGACAAAACATGTTGAGATCGGTGCAACACACCGTGATTGAAATCATCGGAGCCTAGATGATCCGGCAGATCGGACGAGCACCACGACGATCACACAGTGGTGCCGCGCTCCCGGTCCGACAAAAAAACAAGCGCGAGGGATTCATGGCAGGAGGGAGGAGGGGCGAGAAGAGCAGCAGCAGAAAGAGAAAGAAGAGAGGGTCTACCTCCTGACCCCCCTCGTCTTCCTCTTTCTCCTCCCTGCTCCTCACCCCCCTCCTCACCCTTCCTCGAGCGGCGCAGCAGCCTTTGCCGCCAACCCCCGTGATTCGCCTCCCTACACCCCTCGAGCGCCGAAGAACAGCCTCCTTCCGCACCACCCTCCTCCTTTCCCTTTCCGCCCGTGGGGGCGCTCTGGCCTATACACCAGCGCTGCCCCCCCCCTCGGCCCAGGCCAAGGGAACAGGGGCCTCCTGCTCCCCCCATTCGTCCCTTTTCCCCCTCCTCCTCGCCTCCTTCCCCTCCCATTCGGTGTCGATTCGTTGATTTTGTTTGGGCCGCGGAAGCCCCCCCACTTTGGGGCGCCGTCGCTTTCAGGAATCATCAAGCAGGAGCCCTGTTTCTGATATGAGAAGGTGATGTTGAAAGCAGAGCCAGCGGGTGCTCTCCATCAGCCCCGCCTTGTGTGGAGCTTTTCGGGGAGCCCAAAGAGCTCGACATGGAGCCACGACGCCAGACCGGCGCTGACCTCTCGAAGACGATCCACTTACCCTCCAAGAAACCTGGCGCCATGCCATGCCATGCTGTGCGGTGTTGTGTTCTGCGCCTCTGTGCGATGCCATGCTTTGCGTTGCAATGCTTTGTAGTGCAATACTTCACTGCGCGATGCCACACCATGCTATGGCATGCTACGCTGTGCCGTGCTCTTCTACGCCATGCCATGCCGTGCTCTACCATGCATCGCGTACCCTCTCGCAGTCACTGCCCTGCTCGACATCCGACTGTGCGAATAGAGAGGATATCTACGCCATGGCAAGGGATGGGAGGGAGGGGTAGGACGTCAGATATGACGCGAGCGCACCCAGCTTATCCCCCTCCTCCTCGCCTCATCCCCCTCCCCCTCCCCCTCCTCCTCTCAAAAGTCGACCCCCGGGCCTCCACGAGTGCGTTCTAGCCAATTTCTCGAGGCGGATCCAGCCCGTGACGAGGAGCCTCCCAAAGCCCAAAAAGGGCCAACAACACCCCAAAAACGTTAGAGTTCGGAGTTCAAGCCTCCACTTTCTCCCCCTCCTCCCCTCCCCTCCCTCCCTTCCCCTCCCTTCCCTCCCCTCCTCCCTCCCCCCCCCCTCCCCCTCCCTCCCATCCTCCTCTCCTCCTCCCCATCCCCTCCTCCCCCCCCCCCCCCTCCCCTCCCTCCTCCCCCCCCCCCCCTCCCCCTCCCCTCCTCCTCCCCCTCCTCCTCCCCCTCCCCCTCCTCCCCTCCTCCTCCTTCCTCTCCTCTCCTCCTCCTCCTCCTCCTCCTCCTCCTCCTCCTCCTCCCGCCTCCCTCCCTCCCGCCCTCCCTCCCTCCCTCCCGCGACGGGCCGCGGCAGAGCGGCCGAGAGCCCCCTCGGCCTCCGCGGGGGGCCCCAAGGAGGGGGCTGCCGGAGCGCTGCGCGGGAGCGCGCGGCGGGCGTGGGCCGCCGGGGCGCGCGGCTGCGTCGCAGGGCAGCGGCTCGCGGCAGCCGAGCGGGCAGCCGAAGGGGCTCAGTTCCGACCAGGGGGCGTGGGAAGTTGGGCGTGGCTCAATGGGGGGGTCACAAATGGGGGGGTCAGAAAGGGTCCCCTGTCGTGCCCCTTTCGGGCCCCTCCGGAGCCCCAGGGGGCTCGTTTAGGTACCGTTTGGGTACCTTTTCGGACCACGCTCGCCACCCCCCTATTTATGACCCCCCCATTACGCGGCGCCCAAGGAAGTGGGCCCGTTCGACCTCCGGCTGGTCTCTGGAATCCGCTTGGCGGCCGACATGGCTCCGAAGGGAACCCGGAGGCCAGTCGGCCTTGCCGAGGCTCGGAGCCGCAGCCGAGACCCGCGGGCGCGGCTGCCGCGACGAGCGGCGGTTGAGCAGCCTGCCCCGCGGCCCTGGGCGCCCGGCTTCGGACAACCCTGGGTCGCGCGCGGGGACGCGGCACGCGGTCGCCAGGAGGAGGGGAGGGCCAGGAAGGGCTACCCTCAGATCCGGGCGCTGCGATGTTTGCTCACACCGGGCGTTTGCGCCCGGCTTCGGGCACCAGGACCCTCACAGATCGATCCGGCTCGAAAAATGCCGCAGAAAGATGCGCGGTCCAGGGCCCCGGTCGCAAGTTCTCACGATGTCGCAATTTGCTGCCAGGTGGGATCTGACGGTAGGGAGGGCTCGGGAGGGGGTGGGAAAGGGTATGCAGGGCTAAGGGAGGGTTCTAAAATGACTAGGGAGGCCAGGGGGGCGCTCGGAAGTGATAGGGGAGGTCGTGCCTCTGCGTTCGATTGCGAGGAAGCCAGCTTCTCGATGGTAACGTGCGGTCACCGAGGCGATACTGGCATCGAGCTGCCACGAGGTACGCTGGATAAGGAACGATGGGATTTGTTCTGGCGGCGGCGAACCACGGCCACGAATTAGTGCCCCGACCCGAAAACTGAGGAACGGCCCGAAAGCCAGAGCGCTCCCCAGAACCCAAAGCGGTCCTTATTTCAGCGACTTGCCGGTATGAGGTCAGCAGAGGGAACACCCACCCCTACTCCGAACGGAATTCAGTAAAAGTCCCCGCCCCTCGGATCTGGAGGTGAGGGGATGGGCACGTGCTGCTACGGGGAGCTTTGCGGGAGGATGCCAGGCCAGAAGTGGCTGGTCAGAAGTGAATGCACAGTGATCTGGCCAGAAGTGGACTCGTGGATGCCTGGTGGTGGTGCGTACGCCATCCCGACGGACGGCGGTTTTGAAGCCCAAGGCTTCAAGAAGCCGATGAGCTCGGGAGATGGGCATGCTTCGGTGGAAGGTTTGCACAACGCGGACTCCTGGAAATCTCGCCTCCTTCCCCAGGCCTGGCGTATCACCCTGAGCCGTTTTGTTGACGGTCCTGGGGCCTGGTGAGGGCCCCGAAGGCCGCGGGGGGGCTCCAAAATGGCGCGAAAAGCTCGGTACACCTCAGGCCGAGGACGCCTTGGCAACCCACGAGAAGGGGCCTGGGTCCCGGAGATCCCGTGCCTTTATTTTTCGATACGGGGCCCCAAGAAGTCCTAAACCTTTCCACCTTTCCCAATGGCCGGCTCTGCACCCCGAGCCATTGCTTGACGGCCCCCCGGCCCAGAGAGGCCCCCCCGATGCCGAAGACTAGGAGAAGCCGCAGCGCTCCAATGCTCAATACGCTCGGGGTGCTCGGGGTGCTGCGCGCCCACGGGCCCGAAACCAGCCGCACCCGGGCCACCGAGCTTCGCACATCGCAGCCCGCGATGCGCGGCGTGCGGTCATCTCCGCGCCCTCGTGCCTGGTGAGGCTTCGGGCTGCGCACGGGCAGCCCCCCTGATGCCCCAGGCAATTCCGGCAGGCCTCAGCAGGTCCCCCGAGTAGCCCCAACTGGCCTCAACTGGCACCCCGAGTAGCCCGGGGCGGTCTCGCCGCCAGAGGCCGCGCTGGGGTGTTGCGACCGCCCCGGACTACTTGGGGGGCCTGTTGAGGGCAGCTGGAACTGCTTGGGGGGGGGGGCCTGTGGAGGCCAGCCAGGACTGAAGAGGAGGAGGAGGAGGAGGAGGAGGAGGAGGAGAAAGGAAGGAGCAAGAGGAGAGGAGGAGGAGAAGGAGGAGGAGGAGAGGAGGAGGAGGAGGAGGAGGAGGACGACGAGGAAGCTGTCTGTGCGCAGCCCGAGGCCGTACCACTCGCGCCCCCGCTTTGCCCCTCGCGCAGGGGCAAGCGCTCCGGCTCGGCCGCGGCACGCGATGCGCGGTGGCCTTCGCGCCCGCGGGCTCCTCCATGAGAGGGAGGCCTCTCGGCCGCCACTGGCTGGACGCTGCTCGAGATGCTGGCCACCCAGGAAGGGCCTCGCCTTCGGGGGGCGCTCCAGAAGAGCCTCGCCTCTCACCTGAGATCCCGGCGTCTCAATTTGTTCGAGCCGGGCGTCTTCGCCCGGCTTCGGACAGCCCTGGGTCGCGCGCGGGGACGCGGCACGCGGTCGCCAGGAGGAGGGGAGGGCCAGGAAGGGCGACCCTCAGATCCGGGCGCTGCCATGATTGCTCACACTGGTCGTTTGCGCCCGGCTTCGGGCACCAGGACCCTCACAGATCGATCGGGCTCGAAAAATGCCGCAGAAAGATGTGCGGTCCAGGGCCCCGGTCGCAAGTTCTCACGATGTCGCAACTTGCTTCGACGTCGGATCTCAGGGAAGGGCCTCGCCTTCGAGGGGCGCTCCAGACAGGGCGCTCCAGGAGAGGAGCACAAGACGGCATGAACAAGCTGTCTCGGATGTCCGCGTGGATTTCTTGGATCGGCGCTGGACCCCCCAAGCAGTCCGCACGGAGCTTCGAACAAATATGTGTACTCCGCTTTCCGTTTTTTCATCTAGGGAAAACCTCGCCTTCCAGAAACGCCTCGCCCTCGTTGCTTGGGAAGCCTGCGAGCGTCTCTGGAGGTTCTCGTCGCAACGGCTAGTTTCTGCTCGACGCACTCCTCCATCCTCTTAGGGAACAACTTCTGCTGTCCCTCGACTCGCGCTGGAGCTTCCAAGACTTGCTGCAGAATTACCTGGGTATCTCTGGACTTGCCTCGGCACATCCTGGCTCACATCGCCTTACGTGAATCAAAACCGATGCATCTCGCTTGACCCCCGAAAATCGACCGGAGAAGAGCCACCAAGACCTTCAGGATCCGTGGCGAGGTTCTCGCCGCCACGGCCTAGTGCGCAGAAAGGACGGGCCAGAATGGACCCCCCCGGGAGCGGTCCGGGGACCCATTTCGAATGGAATCGGGGGTGCTATGGTCGGAGCCTTGGATGTGGCGACTCAAAAACTGGGGCGCCCCAGAAAGGGCCCCGCCGTCGAGGGATCGAAGGGCGGACGACTCGCCCTCCCCAGACCTCTCCTCGCGCCGCGGCAAGATCACGACGGATGGACGTCGCTCACTCTCGGCCTCCAGGGGCCCCCCGCTTGGCGCCCCGAGACCGTCAGAAAACGACTCGGGACGAAAAGCCGGCCCCGAGGAAGATGTCGAGACCTCTGTTACGAGAAAGTAATGGCGTCAGAGATGTGGGTCTGGCGTGGCGTGCACGCTTTTGCCCCAAATCCTAAGACGGGGCTCTTTTTATTACTGAGACGCCTCAGGACCTTCCTCTTCTTCTCCTTATTATAATCCTCTTCTTTCTCACTCTGATACCACTCAAAACTCATACTCAAACCTCTCACACCCATCACAAGCTCCATGAGAGACCCACTCTTCTCCACCAGGTTTCATCACACATTCAATCTTCCTCACGCAGACTCAGCCACACCACTTCCTCACTGAAACTCACTCAGACTCAGACACACTCATATTCAGTCACACCGCTTCTTCACTGAGACTCACTCAGACTCAGAATCACTCACCCACACACACAAATGTTTTAGTCAGCGGCGCAGTGGGTCCTCAGGTGCGTGCAGCAAATGTGCTACATAGTTGCGATCGAACATAACCGCCAAAAAAAATGAGAGAACCGTCACTCACTGAAGTGCAGAGATGGGTGGTGGGTGGGAAGGACTGTAACCCAGCGACCGTGCAGCTGCCAGAAAGCCAGGGAGCACGTCCGCGCGAGCTGAGCTCAAGGTGAACTGAAGCGCGAGCAGCCAGGTGCTAATTGCCACAGAACCAGCCACGTAAACCTTAAAAGCCAGTGGTTCAGAGGGTCCTCACACACACACACACACACACACACACACACACACACACACACACACACACACACACGCACGCACGCACGCACGCACGCACACACACACACACACACACACACACACACACACACACACACACACACACACGCACGCACGCACGCACGCACGCACGCACGCACGCACGCACGCACGCACGCACGCGCACGCACGCGCACGCGCACGCACACGCACACGCACACGCACACGCACACACACACACACACACACACACACACACACACACACACACGCACACGCACACGCACACGCACACGCACACGCACACCCACACACACACACACAACAAAAAAAAAAAACGTTTGTGAGGATGCCTCAGGCGAGGCGTAGATTTCAGCACTCCAGGGGAGGGGGGGGGCGCAAGGGACAAACACGGTGCAGGAGTCGCGCCCAGAATGTGGGGACGTCTCAAGCGGTTTGCCTCTCTCTGCCCCCCAACATCCTCAGCTTTCGGAGCAGACTGAGGATGTTTCAGACGAAGCGCTGGATTCAGTACTCCACAGGGGGGGGGGGGGGGGCCAGGGGCGAACACAGTCCAGGAGTCGCGCCCAGATTGTGGGGCTGTCTAAAGCGGTTTGCGTGTTTCTGCCCCCAACATCCTCAGCTTTCGGAGCAGAGTGCGAGGATGTCTCAGGCGAGGCGCTGGTTTCAGCACTCCCAGGGGGAAGCGCCAGGGGTGAGCACACTCGAAGATTCGCGCTGAGATGGTGGGGATAACTGAAACGGCTTGCTTGCGTCGGCCCTCAGAGGTCTCTCTTTTGGTGGTCCAATGCCCACCGCGGTATAATTGGTGTAACATTCGGGCACCCCGATGGGGGAGCGCCAGGGTTCAGGACACTCCAAGATTCGCGCCCAGGTTGTGGCGACGTCTCAGGCGGATTGCCTGGTTCGCCACCCTGGATTCTTGCTTTGGGGGTTGAATGCTCACCGCGATGCAGCAGACGTGGCACTCGGGCACCCCAAAGGGGAGCCGCCCGGGGTGGGGACACTGCATTGTTCGCGCCCAGAGTGTGGGGATGCCTCGAGCTGTTTGCCTGTTCAGTAGTTTGGACCCGTGTGCTTCCAGTGCAGAGTGTGAGGATGTTTCGAGCGAGGCGCTGCTTTCATAGCAAAGCGTGGGGATGCGCGAGGTGTTGGCAGGAAGAGGAGGAGGAGCACCAGTGTAAACCCAAGACTCATCAACGATATTACAAAAAAAACCTCCCTCAAAGTTCCTCATCACAGGCCCCTACAAGGATCGATCTTCACTGAGGCGTTGCCCCGTTGGAAGACACACATTTGAAAATCCTGAACTGCGCCAGGGTACCGTTCATGGGACTTCAACGCCGCGAATCATAGCTACTCTTGCGTCTCGACGATCCTGGATCCTACCAGAACACCATCCCCGGGACTTCAACACAACGTCCTGACACTGCGACATCGTGCCAAAACACCATTTGGGGGCGTTACCCATGGAAACCCTTGAAACTGCGACTAACTCTCAAAACGAATGTGCGCTGCGCTTTGAAGAGAGCCACAGTTTGAAAAGGAACCGACCTCCCTCCGCGAAACTCTTGCAACTGATAAAAAAATGCGCGCGGCGCTAAGACGAGAACCACAGTTCGAAAAGGAACCGCCCTCCATCCGCGAAGCCCTTGCAACTTTCTAGACGAATGTGCGCAACGACAATGCGAGAGTCACATGTTGAAAACGGCCCGCCCTCCATTCGTGAAACCCTTGCAAATTCCCCAACTTCAATACCATAGATGGTGAGGAAATCTCCAGCGAAACGCCCGGCCCGCCCAGCCGACACGCCCCGGGGCGCGACAGGGAGAGTTATGTAGAAGAGAAAGGGACGGCAGACGACGGACGAGGAGGGGGATAATGATAACGGAACAGGAGGAGGGAAAGGAGGACATGCGATCAGGCAATTGAAAGGATGTCTCGAGCGAGGCGCTTGCTTCAGCACCCCAGGGGGGAGCCGCCAGAGCGGGTTTTACTTAGACGCCTCCGCCTCACCTCCCCCTCCTCCGCCCCCTCTTCCTCATTCACACACACACACACACACACACGTAGACTCACTCACGCTCAGACTCACACTCAGACTCATTCACGCTACGACCCATCATGCCGATCATTATTCGCTCCAACTCAGACCTCATTCACACTCAGACTCACTCTGACTCAGACCCACCCGCACTCAGACAGACTCACACTCAGACGCTCTCACCCTCAGATTTACCCACACTCAGACCCACTCAAACTCAGGCTCACTCGCATTCAGATTCGCTCACACCCAGACTCCCTCGCACTCAGACTTGCGACTCACTCAGACTTGCAGACTGCGGGGATGATGCCTCAAGCGAGCGTCTCGCTCTCACACAGACGGTCACTGACATGTACCCACAGACAGACGTGCCAGGAAAATGAGATGCACATATGGGGATCTCCGCGTCGAGTAGTTGCTCTGTCGGCCTCTCGCGGTCGGGCCCCCTGGGGCCGTCAAGTTTGCGACCCGCGGCGGAGAACGTGCCCCACGGGAATGAGGTCGAGACAGGACTCACGTCATGACAGAGCACGACGTGTGGCAAGGCCTGTGGTTGCGCGCAGGCATCCCACAGAGTGAATCCAAGCTGGCCTCAACTATCCCCCAGGGCAGTCTGGGGCGGTCTCCACACCCATCCTGAGAAACCGCTGAAGGCGCGGAGGCGTTAACACCACCCAGGAACCCGTCGAGGCCGTGCTGGACGACCTCGGAGCACGGTCTGTGCGCAACCCCCGAGCCTTGCCAGGTCTGGGAGGAGAAGAAGAGGAGGCGGACGAGGCGTGGCGTTAGCATGAAAGAAACTGGTCCTGGGGGAAGCAGGCCCTGGACCCTGGCGCTTGCCCCAGGACCCGTGCTTCGTCCTGAGTCGCTGTTTGACGGCCCTGGGACCCGGGGAGGGCGTGTGCCCGAAAAGGGCGAAAATCCTCAGGGCCCGTTTCCATCAGGACTTCTTTGCTTCATGGCGAGGGAGGAAGAGGACAAAATGCAACCACATTTGAACTCTACTCCTGCAAATCAGATTTCTGAACAACCTGCCAGGACTCAGAATTTGAGAGATGTCTGCAGCAAAGTGAATCCCAGCGGAGGTGTCCCATACCCCATCGTCGACTGGACAGGGGTAGGGTTCGCAAGTGGTCGCAGAGACAAGGAAGGGCGGCAGCAGGCGGGAGCACGGCCCTCTACCGGAACAGTGCGTCGAGGTCGCCGCCGGAGTCCGCCGAGCTGGCCTTCGCGGCTGTCTCCGGCACCTTTTCCTCCTTCTGCAGGGAGGCCACGTACGCTGCGAGCTCCTCCGGGCGGACGCAGGGCCTCCCACGACCCCTGGCGCCGAGAACTGGCTGGCGAGGTTGGCAGGCCAAGGCAAAAGCAAGGCAAGGACGATGAACAAAACACGGACACCGCCATGCCCTGGACGTCTTCGAAGGTGCACTCTGCACTGGATCCGGCTGGGGCGACGAGTGGCCCCAGGAGCTCCAAGAAGACGAAACACGAGGGGAGCGGCTCTGCATCGGCCTGCGTCTCTCCTCCGAGACGCGATCTGCGACGAGGGCCACGCGGGGAGCCGGCCACGGTCGCAGGTCCCCCTCTGGAAGCGGTGCCGAAGCCACCACCTGGCCAAAAAAGAGCCTCCTCCTCCTCCTCCTCCTCCTCCTCCTCCTCAGGAGCCTCACCGAGGCACATTTCTTGACGAGGGCCGCATCAAGATAGGAGTCGGCCATCTTTGGACCAAGCACGTTCCGCTACTCGCAAGAAGCTCGCAAGTGGCGTGCATCCGCCGCGAGGGATTTACGATCCATTGCAAAGAAGAAGAAGAAGAAGAAAAAGATGATGACATGTTTTCTGGCGTTTGCGAGCAGGCACTTTGCGAGCAATGGAGCGCGCTCGGTGAATCTTAGGAGACCCCGGTCGCGAACCGCCCCGGAGCGCAGGCGCCTGCCGCCCGCGGCGGCTGCAGCGCGAGTGAAGGCAGAACGCATCCTTGGAGTGCCATATGGGACCTGCTCCCAGAACAGGAACGTATCGTAGACAGATCCACCCTTTCTCCGACCTCGTACTGCGCCGAACGCAACGGCCGCGTCGTCTATAGACGCATCCACCCCGAATGTGTCTATATGTGTTAATGAAAATATATGCATATGTATGCAACGGCACCCAGTGTATCCATAGGCGCTTGTGGCTAGAAGGCGAGAACGGACTTTCGCGCAGGCCCCAGATAGCGGCCCTCTGGAAGCAGGCAGACTTGGCCCTTCAAGACCGCCCCGAAACTCCAGGCGTCAGGGATCGAGCTGCCAGGCACCATGGAGGGCTGCACTCCGAGGAGGCAGGCCGCGCCCAAAGTCCAGCTCCGGGGCTTCGGCGTGCCAGCGCGCCCGACGAAGGCCTCATCCTGAGACGACGAGCTGCACCTGGACTCAGCATCGAGAGGGCGAAGAAACTGCACGAGCAGAAACTTTCGGAGCTCCGCGCGGACTTCTGGGGATCGACGCCGGAGGCGCCGCCACGGAGTCCCAGGCGCCGGTCCCCAGAAATCCGCGCGGAGCATCGGAAGTTTATTCTTCTATGCTGGTGCTTCCTGCTGTGAGCATCGTGAGAGCTGTCCCCGTCCCCACTAGGAACGCCTGGGTCCCGCTGTCCGACCGATGCCCCCCCATGGGTGGTGAGAGATGCCCCGTTGGTGGTGATGGGTCTTGGTCGGGCTTCGCGGCCTCCATCCCCAACTCGAGGCGGCAGGCTGGTGACGCTAAGGAGCCCTGGCCCGCTGGGGAAGGAGATAGGTCCAACGATGCTGACATTCTGGAGCTCAGATATGCTGCGCGCCCATAGGGAGGGCACTCTGTGGCATATGTCCCAGAACTCCTATCATGTTTACGGCGCGCTCATGCCTGACGCAATCTGAGACAGTCCATCGGCTCCGAACTTGAGTCGATTTCCCGCGCGTGCGCGCGCTGGAGGGCAGCAATTCCGAGATTAGAAGCCGTCCCAGAAACAAACCCCTGGAGCTCTGAAGTACCGCGTGCCCGCGAGATTTGTCGTCTGAGACGATATCTCGAGCCAGACTTCTAGTGCAGAACTCCACGTGCCGCGCGCCACATAAAAGTCGCACTCGCCGAATCATAAACACACATCCTCCCACATCTTGGTTCGTAGAGCTCCCATGCTCCGTGCCTCGATGTGGTCGCGCCCCGATCGTAACGAACCGCCCCAGAAAACTACTCCTGGCTACTCGGTGCCCGTGCCGCGCGCAGGGTTCGCACTCCAGACGCTGCACTCCGGACGCTGCACACTCCTTCATGGACCAGTGTCCCGAGCCCGGGTGGCGATGCAACTTTGAAGATCGAGATCTGGCCCAGGCGCCACATGTGGACGCCTTAGCAGGCGGAAACAGCCCTGACCCTCCACGAGAAACCGAATACGGATGGCAAAGCATGTGCCTGTTTCGTTAGCCCAAACGATAGAAACTTAGCCTGGCGAAGGACCCAACCATATTCAGCAGGCAACTCTTTTGCGGGTCTCTCGCACCGGCAGGGCACTCGCAGACTAGGCCTCGTCCACAGGAGCCCGCTCGTCTTTCAAGAGGCCCACGAGGGGCGAAAGTCCACGCTGGGGCCTTCGGAGGAGCTCCCTGTGGGGCCACGGGCCACGAAACGTCTGACGGGTGTGCCGAAATGGATACGGGAGCGGCATGCGGGTGCAGCCAATAAGGCCTTCGGTGGAGCGCACTATGGGGCCACGAAACGTGTGAGGGGTGTGCCGAAGTGGGTGTGGGGGAGGCATGCGGGCGCAGCCAAGCTGGCCTTCGGTGGAGCTCCCTATGCGGCCACGACGAAGTGTGTGAGGGGTGTGCCGAAATGGGTGGTGGGGAGGCATGCGGGCGCAGCCACTGGGGCCTTCGGTGGACCTCACTATGGGGCCACGGAAAGTGTGAGGGGTGTGCCGAAATCAATGGTGGTGAAGCATGCGGGCGCAGCCACTGGGGCCATCGGTGGAGCTCCCTATGGGGCCACGAAACGTATGAGGGGTGTGCCGACATGGGTGGGGGGAGGCATGCGGGCGCAGCCACTGGGGCCTTCCGTAACCTCCCTATGGGGACACGAAACGTGTGAAGGGTGTGCCGAAGTCAGTGGTGGGGGGGGCATGCGGGCGCAGCCAATGGGGCCCTCGGTAGAGCTCCCTATGGGGCCACGAAACGTGTGAGGGGTGTGCCGAAATCTGGTGGTGGGGGAGGCATGCGGGCGCAGCCACTGGGCCACGAAACGTGTGAGGGGTATACCGAAATGAGTCTGAAGAGGCATGCGGGCGAAGCCACTGGGGCCTTCGGTGGAGCTCCCTATGGGGCCACGAAACGTGTGAGGGGTGTGCCGAAGCTGATGACGGTGATGGTGATGATGACGCCGATGATGGTGAAGATAATGGTGATGATGACGCAGATGGCCATGATGATGATGATGATGATGATGATGATGATGATGATGATGATGACGATGATGATGATGATTATGATGATGATGATGATGATGATGATGATGATGATGATGATGATGATGATGATGATGATGCCGATGATGCCGATGATGATGATGATGATGATGATGATGATGATGATGATGATGAGAAAGATGATGATGATGATGATGCTGGTGATTGTGATGATGATGAGGATCACGATAACGATAACGATGACGATCATGATGATGATGATGCTGATGATGATGATGATCGTGATGTCGATGATGGTGTGATGACGACGACGATGAGGATGATGATGGTGATCATTATGATGATCATGCTGATGAGCATGATGATGATGGGAAAGAGGGGGAGGAAGGAAGGAGAGGAACGCGCGGCGCTGTCTCTTCAAAACGAGGACCCAACACCACAGGACGGTTGGGAAAAAGCCTGTCCTCGCCCGTGGGGGGCAAGAGATTCCTCCCCAGTCGCCCGTCCTTGCCGACTTCGTCGAGCTTCTTGCGGAGCCCCTTGTTGTCACCGATGCCGTCCAACACCAGGCCAGCCTTGTTCTTCAGCTGGTTCAGTTTGACGAAGACGTCCTCTGGCTCTGACAAAGAAATATCGGCCTGCTCGTAGACCAGATCGAGAGCCTTCCGAATCCTCGCAAACGGGGACTCCTGCCTGCGCTCCAGCTTGATCACGACCGGTTTGTTCGCGTCTTTGGCTTTCTTGATCTCGTCCCGCACGTCGTCGAACCGAAAGACCTCTTGCCCATTGACCTGGAGATTCAAACGGGAAGCCCCTATCCCACCCCACAGCTCCAGGAACGAGGTGAAAGGTGAGTAGATGAAGAGCTGAGATGCTATGGAAGAAAGCTAGCGTGGGGAAGGCAGGGAGGAGGGAGGGGGAGGGAGGAAGAGGAAAGGGGAGAGACGGAGATGGAAGGGAGAGGAGGGGATGGGAATACAGAGCTACATTGACTCAAACCTACCTGACTCGAGCAAAAGCTGGTTTTACCTGGGTTGTCAGCATCGCTAGGCATCGTGCGACCGATACGATGATACGTTTAGTCTCCCTCACTCGAGAGCGCCTCTATGAAACATGCTGGCAAAAGCCGAAACGGCTACGCACTGAAACTGACTGTACAATGTCTGGCACATAGTGAGCGTAAGGCGCACACGACTGAGGGGGAGTGGGCAAGGAGAGACAGCGGGACCACTTTTCGTGGGACAGACATGGGTTCACCCCCCTCCTTCCCCTCAGCAACCTCCAGGCTAGCATACACTGGACTCGACAGATCTGGCTCGAGATCTTGACTCCCTAACTGCTTATGAATAGCTCTCTTGGATGCTGGTGTCGTCCTGGACTTGAGGTGCTTGTTTAGGGCTCTCTCGCTCATGTGAAGATCCTCGTCTATGAGGGCGAGGGTGCCCTTCCTGAGAAGGTAGTTGCATGCCAAATCCCACCAGCAGCCCTCTGGGCGTCGGTGGTTTAGGGCGTTTCCGCTTCCACCCATCCCTCTTCCCCTTCGGGGAGGGGTTTACCCCTCCCCCCACCCCCTCCCCGTGGACCTGGACGGGAGGGGCGGGGAGGTGTCAGAGGGTAGTGTTTCGCCCAATTTGGCTCCATGAGGGCCTCAAAGAGCCCAAGATAGCCTCCAAGATGACTCAAGATAGCGCAAGATGCCTCAAGATGGCTCCGAAGATGCTCGAAGACGGTCCAAGACCACCCCAAGATGGTTCCAAGTGTCCAAAAAAGCTCCCCAAGGATGCCCCCAAGAGGCCAAAATGCTTCAAAACCCTTAGTAAAATCAATGTGTTTAGCTTTCTCGCCTTCGCGCTTCCGACGCCCATCCGAGGCGACAACATAGCTCCACGATGGCCCAAGAGAGCCCCAAGAGGGGCCCAAGAGAGCCCCAAGACAGCCCCAAGAGCGCCCAAGAGCGCTCCAAGAGCGGCCCAAAAGCGTTCCAAGAGGCGATGTGGGGAGCTCCCGACGGGGGACCGTAATTAAGGAACCTCCCTTTGTTGATCGAGCTCCTCCAAGATGGCCGCAAGAGACGTCTTGGACCCTCCTCTTGGGCCCTGCGCGCGGGCGGGCGGGGCGCCGCCCGCCCGCCCGCAAGGCCCGAGAGCCCACCAAACCGCCTCAAGAGACCTCCAAGACGCCACCAGGAGGAAGAGGAAGAGAAGGAGGAGGAGGAGGAGGAGGAGGAGGAGGAGGAGGAGAACAACTGCCGATGATCGGCGCTCTTCGTTCGAGTACCTGGTGTTGGATGGGCTGGTGGGGATGCGCGAAGCGTCAAGAATTCCCCTTAGCAGCGTCCGCCTTACTTGAGCAATCTGCTGGCATGAGTCCGCGCGGGACCCATCTGATCTGCGATCCTATGGATGATAAGCTGTCTCTGATGACCGACAGTTCTATTGAGTTGCGCCGGTCGGCCTTAGTGCCGGCGCTGTTGCGGGTTAAAACATCCAAGACCGACTTCGCATCCACGACCGACACCGACGACACGCCCTCATTAAGAGAGCAATCACGGGGGAGAACGATAGGGAACGGGGCCTGGCTGAAGTGCCAGTCGTGCTTGGCCACGTCAGCGAAAACCAGGTCGCGCCACATGACTTGGAGCCATTGAGACTCTGCCACCGCGGATGACAGACTGAGGGGTTCTGCCGCACCAGTCGACGAAACGGCGCGCTTTATCCTCTGGGACCTCCAGGAAAGAAGGGACACTTTAGCTCTGTGCTTGCTCCTGATACTACTGTCTGCCGCAAGCACGAGAAACGCTCCCTGCGCCCCGCCTCGGCGGGCTGACCCCGGCCCTCCTGCGTCGGAAATCGTCACGAATGTGACTGATACCGGATCTAACTGCCAGATCGTCAAGCGCTGGCTGGCCGTTGACTTAATCAAGATGCTTGCAGGCCTTGACGACAAGCTGGGCATCAGCTACCGTCGGATTCGGCAGAGTCGCACTCTGTAACGAGGCGCGGCCAAAGACATCTGGTCGGGATTCTCTGGCAACCCATCGCACTTGAGTAATCATGGTCCGGCACAGTTTAACCTCGCTAGGGTCAAGAGAGAGGACGGATCCGAAAGACTGCATTTTCGAGCAGCATCGGCGTGAGTTTTTCCTGGATGGACTTTTCTTGGTCGACACATATCTTATTGTCATGCTGTTTGATGTGGCGACCTGCGTAGTCGGCCTCTCCATCCTGCCATTTCCTAAACTGGAATCGAACCTGCATCTGCTCCTTGCGAAAAGCACGGACTGAAGGATGGGCCGCGACCAGGAGGTCGTCGACCTCTATTAAAAAGACCGCCGCAAGCTCAACTTGGCTGGATCGAAGCGACCAGAGACACGGGTCGAAAAGCGATTCTCGAAAACCGATCGAGCTGAGCCAATCAGTCAACGTCCTGTGCCACAATACTGGCGCGCCATCTAATCCGCGCACTGGAGCGATGAGCTCCACGAGCTCCCCGGGGGCCAAATTTAGGCCATGGCACGGTTCGCAATATATCGCCCATTTCGGTCGGTGCAAAGGATCGCTTTGGCAAAACGCGTTTTTTTGCATCCGCGATCTGCAACTTCCAGCCTAGCGAAGCAACACACTGCAAGGTAAGAGGCACCGTCTCGCTCTGGGGTGTTGGAGCGTATACGTGAAGCTCGTCGGAATCCGGGCCCTGATGGCCCTGGACGCACCATCGCGACTTCGCCCAGGGGCCCGAACCTACTCCTTCTTGGGGTTTGAATCTGCGCACCATCCTGGATCCTAGAGCACGGTCTGGGCACCGCCGTCGGATGAGAGCGGCCTCTGAAGCCGAAACCACGCACGCAGCTCCGGGGCTAAGAATAGCCCCCCACTCCTGAGCGTCAGAAAAAAATCAAACAGCGCCCTTTCACGAGGAAACAAAGACTTCAAGGAAACTTCCGCTCCACGGCGGGACGGAGGCACCACTGCGCCGGGCCCCCGACTTGACTGATCAGCCGCAAAGACCTGAGTCAGAAGGGGGGCCCTGTAAAACCCTGGCCCAAGAGAAAACCAGGAGCACAATTCTTCCCGCAACTGTTCCTGCTGCTCTTCGTCCTCGACCTGAGCAGACCAGCAAGCAGGACTCTCGGGGAAGAGGACCTCGTCGGCGCGGCCAAAATGGCCCGAGGCCAACGCTCCTTCCTGGGGCGGCTCAGACGGTCCGCCTTTCTCGGGCGAACGCGAGCCGTCTCTGCCGGAGGTCTGAGGAACCGGGGGCGCTAGCGCCTGGGACTCCCTGGACCTCAGGATGCACGTAGGGATGTCGTCGAAAGGTGACCCAGCGCCTCTGACGATTGGTCTGGGAGGGACCGCCGTCCCGGACCGACCCTCGAGCTCGGCAACTCATTGATGCACCCGGCCTGGAACTGGTGGGCCTCTTTGCTCAATCGGCGCCATCCTGGGGCAAGCGGGACCCGGCTCGGGAGGATTGACAAGAGGCCTCCGAGGATAGGCGGGGGCCCGATTCATCTCTCTCGCATTCTCTTGGGCAGGAACGACCGACGAGGACGGGAGGGGAGGAGCATCGGAGGCAGAGACCGAAGGAACAGGAGGAGACGGGGCAGGAGGAGACGAGGAGGGAGGAAGGAGATCAGTGGATCCTCGGCTGATCTGACGGGACGGCCTCCCAGACGCCGTCGGCTCGGTGGACTGATCGGGAGCTGGGGCCGAGGGCCCCGAATCCAACTCCACGATCTCGGGAGCCAGTGGCACCTGAGATCCGGCAGAAGAACCGGGAGCCTGAAGAGGCTCAGGCGGATCGACCCTAGGGAGAGGCCGAGCAAGTCCCCTAGGTGGTTCTTCGTCGACCTCGGATGGCTGATCCCAGGCTTCAGGAGGCGGATGACCCTCGGGCTGGACGTCCACGGCACCCATGCGTCGGCCTGGCGACGCCAGCTCCTGCCTAAGTCTGTCAAAGGCGACAGAGTCAAGAAGTTCGCTTCCCAGGGCTTCTTCCCTGGTAGCTGGACGGACCTGGTCTTCAGAAACTTTCAATAACTTGGCTCCCATGGCGATCCAAAGCGTGGAATTCCGCTGAGAAGACCACAACTCCTGGCTCGGTCCACCTACTTCTCTGGAGATTTCCCGATCGAGTCCGAGCGCTGGCACGACGCCAGACATACACCCAGGCCCCTGCATTATACTGCTTGTCGGCATGCTTCCTGGCCCGGGAGGCGTATCTGAGACGATCAGCAACATCTAAAGACATCGCGGCCATGCGAGCGGCCTCGCGAAGCGCGTGCTTCTGGGCGTAGGTGGCTGCGGCCGTGTCTCCGTCAAACGCGCCTCGAGCCACGCCGCCCGTGCCAATCTCGTCGTGAGCGTCGTCTGAGAGAATCGACCTTGGCAGACGAGGGTTCCAAAAAAACATGGGACGGCGAAAAACTCCCCCCTGTGAGAAAAACGATTTTTCGCCGCCACAGTTTCACAGAGCAGGCCTTACATCTCCTCAAGGTTGGCGGGATGGGACAACAACACGGCCTTAGATGAGGCGTCTTTGCCCAGGCCTCCATATCTCTCACAGCGGCCGTTCTCATGCGGGGCCTCCAAATTACAGATGTGGCGGGGAACTCCGAGGTGTTCCAGGCACCCAGCGAATGACCCAGTGAATTCGGCACCGCCGTCGCTAGCGATGACCTCCGGGACCCCACAAGGGCGAGCCCAGATACAACAGAAAGCAGACCGGACATCCTGAGAGGAAGCCCCCGGGAGGATCGCGCACGACTGAAGATTCGACCCGCGGCCAATGATGTTCAGCACTGGAGCGGCCTGTCGATCAACTTGCACGTAGAAAAGATCCACCGCCACTATCTCGTTAAAGCGATGCGCCCGAGGCAAGCGGGCTCGCCGGCGCCATCCAGGGCGCCCGTGCGAGTCACAGGCTGCGCACCTAAACTTGGAACGCGCCCACAGCAGCACGCCCTCCCGGGCCTTCCCGATCTTCAGAACCCGAAGGAACTCAGGAAGAGAAGGGCGTCCAAGATAAACGTGCACACTTCCCTTTGGAGCTCCCGGGACAACTGGGGGCCCGCGGAATCACATTGGGGCCCCCCCAACTCGCCGACCTCGTCGGCGCGATCGTCTCCTGGGACCCCATCCGATGTCCAGATCCTGGATGTCCCCGCGAGGAATCTCTGGAAGAGGAGCCGCCTGCGGGCAGGAGTGGAACAAGTTCGCCACGCCGGAGAGGGCGCCCGCAGCCTCGGCCAGCTGGCACGAGCGAGCGCCCAGAGAGGCGCGAGACCAAGCGGCTGACTCGATGCCCTCGGCGAGGGCACTCACGAGCTCAGGCGGGCAGTGCCAGGCTGCCCTCGTCCTGCCCGAACCCCCCAGTGGCACATGCACATAATCGCCCTTGAATTTCCTGTCGCACCAGTCGAGAAAATGCTGAGAATTAGAAATGAAAGAGGTGGGCTTGCGAGAAAAGCCCTATGGGGAAACCGACAGCCCGCACTCGCACTGATCACAATTCGCGGCACTCACGCATCGAGTAAAGTTTCCAGGAAGACGCCGACTGCGGCTGCTCAAGCCAAGAGCCTGCCTTTCGATATCTGGTACTCAGCTATCTGGGCACACATTCCGAGAGAAAAAAAAAATCCCTCTCAGCCTGAGCGAGCTTATCTGGGTTCATTCTGCGCCAGTTACTCACACGCGCTATGCCGAGGCTGGACTTACCGAAAATCGATCCCCGTCTCCAGGACCATGGCCTGGGACACGGGACACCTATCCTGCTGAGCTCCTTGGGGGCCTTAGGTGGGGGGAACACCTCTAAGACCTGGGCGCCCCCCCCCCCCCCGTCGACGCATCTCTCGATCAGCTGCTCGCGGGCCCTCCCTCTCACGGGTGGCCCCGATGCTGGACCCCTCAAATGTTTCCAGAAGCACCTCCCAAATCTTTCGGGGCACCTGAGTTACAGGAAGAGAGCTGGAGCGATCCAAGGAGACGGGAGAGGAAACTAAGGCCCAAGACGACGGAATCCAAGAGGAGGTCCAGCGAAGATCTTGCGAGGCCCTGGCGAACCGTTCCTGCTCGGCTGCTGCCCCGAATGCTAAGGGCAGACCGCTAAGGCCATGTGAGACCGCCCCCCAGACTGCCTCGTAGTTGTCGTCGCTGAGCTCCCGAGAGGGCCGAGCTTAGGGCCCGGGCCGATAGCCCGCTCCACGGATGATCCAGAATGACTCGATGATGAGAGGGTCTCTCCTCGTCGAGGCCGACCCCGATCTGCACCCTGGCAACGTCGGCCAGCAGCCCCAGCCTGCTGCCAGGAGTGCTCCAGCTTGCGATAGCGAGTTGCACCAGAAAAGACGAGACCTCGCATGACTCGAGCTGGCGCCCCGTCCAGCCCGCCGTCTCTGAGACCCAATCCAGATCGATCGAACTGCCGCCTGACATATTCCAGACTCCGAAATGCCCCCCGCGCTCAAGCGGGATGGGACTGCTTCGAAACCGGTTGGTGATCGTGGAGACCGATCGCATGGAGATCTTCTGCTCCTTGGAGATCCCGAACTGATCCTGAATATCCGATGGGATCCGATCCTGAACCTCTTGCTGCAGAGAGGCTAGCGTGAACAAGGTAGCACTCAACGCATCACCTCCCGGAGCACCTTCCGCACAGCCTCCTCCATGGCCTTCGCGTTCTCCGAGCGCGCTTCCTCGATGACGGCCTCGCGAACCTCCTGCGCCCCCTGGCGCTCCCGGGCGAACGCCTCCTTGATGTTCTCCGGCATGCTGCTGACATCGGCGCGCGCGATCCGAGCCGACGGCGGCGGCGGCGAGTCCTGGCCCACGTCCCGCTGGCAGGAGTCGTCGGCGGCAACTTGCACCCCGAGTCCGGGCACGGCGGAGGCAGGCTCGACTTCGCGGCGGTCTGGCGCGTCGGGGGGCTACCGCACGGAGGAGCCACGGCGATCACCTCCTGGTCCTCCTGGGAGCTCGGACCCTTGCCCTTGGGGGCTGCTCCGAGCGCCCTGGACGGCGCCGGTCTGACGCGGTGGCTCATGTCGCGCGGCTGCGGCCCCGGCCCCATCTTGACCTCGAGCTTCTCTTTCTGGGCCAGCACCTCGGCCTGCATCTCGATGATATCCCTGTCCTTGCGCTCCTCCTCCCAGCGACCGCGGGCCCGAGCTGCCTCGAAGATCTCCCGAGGGGTCTTGCGACGAATCCACAAGCGAACTTTGCTTAGACCGCAGTGGGAGTAGTGGGCAACTCCATTATGTCCGTTGCGCCCGCGGTGAAATGGATGCTCGCACTGGCTGGGGCCCTTGGCAGACGTGCCCTCGTCGAACCGGTCCGGACCCACCACCGGCGAAAGAGGCCATGATCCGAGAGTTGGCGCACACGTCGATGAACACGATCGTCCGGAGGAAGAGGCGGCGCCAAGCCATCGAGCTATTCTCGATGAAGCACCGAACTTCGAAGAACACCTCCTGGTCCGCTGGGTCGAGCATCTCGTCGCACTGGATGTGCTGAAGCTCCGCGTCGCGCCACGGATCTGGGATCTCCCCCCAGTTCTCGGCCATCTCGAGATCCGAGCCCCCCTCCTCCTCGACTGCGGAAGGACCCGCCACGGCTTTGCTCGCCCGGCGCCTCAGAGCCGACAGGGAGCGGGGACATCGGCGCAGACGATGAGTCGCCGCCTGGAACGGCTCCTTGATTGCGCGAGGCGGCATCGCCCACCGGTCTCGAGCAGCACTCTAGGTTGACAGGAGAGCTTGAAAGCTGACTTTCCAGATTGCTGGCTCGGCTTGAGCCTAGAGTAGCTAAAGAGACTGACGGCGATGTCCCATCTGCGACCCCCGATCCGTGGACCCGCCGTCGAGACTGGAGAGGAGAGGGAAGAGAAGGGGAACTCTGACTGGCAACTGCCGCGCACTGCCCCCCACACACACCCCTACTGTCCTGAGTGATGAAGGGCGGAAAGCGGCGGGCCAGGTCGTCGCTGAGCCTGAAATCCTCGGGCGCGAGGCCGACGAGGGAGAGGGCTCGATGTCCAGATGGAAAATGAAGCTCAAGACCCCCGCGCCCCTCACCAACTCCGACCGACATCGCGCCCGCATTCACGTCGACCTCGGCCCTGAGAAATACCAGAAACTTCGCGGGCAAAAGCGGGGGACAGGCGCGAGGTAACATTAGAAATTCAAATGCCCCGCAGCCGCACATCGCGACTGGAACTGACGCTCGCCCCACTGGCTTGACCTTTCCCCCCACTCCGCATGTAGGAGGAAGATCCGCCACGTCGCATAAGACATAAACCTCGTAGCCCAGGTAATTCAGCGCCTTCTGAAGATGCTCGAGGTTCGGCTTCCCGGCGAGTGCGGATCCTGCGGCGGTGTCCACCAGGGCGCACTCCACCAGATTGTCCAAGGTCAGCTCGCGAGAAACCTCTGCCAGCACGAGTGCGAGCTGGTCGGCGTCCTCCGGCAGCCAGGCGCCGCCGGCCAGGAAGTCGTCGCACCTCCAGCATTCGTCCTCCGAGGCGTTGAGGAACGAGAAGCCGTCGAAGTCACGCACATTGAAATAGAAACTTTCGTTGTTGTCTGTTTGATGGGCTGACGTCCGTTCTTCTTTGATGCGATATTCCTTCGACCTGTAAGGGTTACGGCAATCTTCCTTCCAATGACCTTTTTGACCGAAGTTTGTGCACCGTGACCTCTTTTTGACCCCATTATTGCCGATCTTCTTACGGCGACGATCAAAGAAGTTACGGTCGATCCTGCGTGCGTTCTTCATTTCCTTTGACTCCTTCCACGTGCGTTTCTTTCTCGTCTCGGCGATCTGGACAAACACATGATATGCTTCATCTTCCGGGAGATCCTGCTGATCCCGAGCCACAGGGAAACCTTCGGCTTCCGACTCGCTGGACTCCGTTTCGTAGATATCTGCTTGTACGTCGGAGCTTGTCTCGGGCTCGGCCTCGATGTCCTGCGCCTGCATGAAGGTCCTGCGCTCCGGAGGCCTGGAAGAGGAAGCTGCCGCGGTTAGAACCGTTTGTTCAGTCGAGACATCCAGGTTGAGAAATGCCGATCGGATGGACATGAAATCGTTCTTGCCGGCGGCCAACGTGGCCAAATTGATTCTATGCTGATGAGACAGCATCGCGCCCTCTTCGTACTATCGAGCCTAGAGTCCGCGAGTGTAAGTCTGGCCGTCTCTGCCTGCAACATGTGTCCGTCACGTCGTATGACGTAATCCGTGATGCTTTCTCCCTTTTTGATAACGTAGTCGAATAACGTTTCGTTCTGCATCTGCCGATCTTTGTCTCCTGGACGCTCGCCTGAGAGCAGAGTTAGGTGCTCCACTATCCTGTCAACACCAGACTCTGTAGCCAGTGACAGCCTGATCGTCTTGAACTTGGCCTGGAGGTCGAGAAGCAAGGTCTCGAGCACTCGATATGCTCGTAGATCGGCCTTGAATGCTGTCCTGCGCGTCCAGGCGCGCAGATTGTGAATGTAGGTATCGAGATGCTGCATGCCCTGCCAGGTGGGAGGAGCTGAGTAGTCCCTTGACTTTTCTTCCCACGAGTGAGACCGGGTGTTCGTCCACCATGATGCTGACCGCCATGAGTCCTCGCCCCCTCGCTCGTCCTTGGGCCTGCTGACGTCGGAGACTGCTTCCCTCCAGTCGCCGAGCTTCTTCCGGTCCTATGACTTCCAAGAGGCGTCGTCGTCGTCCCACTTCGAACTTTGCCCCCAGTTCGGAAACCACTCCCACACCAGCTTGGCGGTCCAGCCCCAGCCTCTGGAGCCCCACCTGTCGCCGTCGTCGGGCTGGCCGGTCTCTGGCTTCGGGTCCGCCGATCCAGCAGCTTCTCCGCTCGCCAGAGCTTTTTCTGCCGGCCCGTGAAGCTTCTCTGCTTCACCTTCGCCGGTAGTGATGAACGTACCATGACCTGATTGCCAAAGGGTCAAACCCGTGAAGCCACGGATCTGAGGTCCTTGAATATGATCTTCCCCAGGTCGTCCAGACTCCAGCGTCATTGTCGGTGCCAGCTGTTCTGTTCGGTGCCCTGGAGCGGGAGAGATCTAACACCATACCTTCACGAGGATCTTCACTAACCACGCTCCGCGTACCACTGTCAGCATCGCTAGGCATCGTGCGACCGATACGATGATATGTTTAGTCTCCCTCACTCGAGAGCGCCTCTATGAAAGCTGGCGAAAGCCGAAACGGCTACGCAGTGAAACTGACTAGACAATGTCTGGCACATAGTAAGTGTAAGGCGCACACGACTTAGGGGGAGTGGGCAAGGAGAAACAGGGTCCACTGTGATGGCCAGCTACAGAACGGCAACAGAGGCCTGAAGCGTAGCTATCTGATAGCTCGTAGCGCCAAGACTGAGACAGTCGGCATGTGTCAGCTAGCATGCGCGCCAGGCTGGCCTTGAATAGCAAAGCCAAGACGACCACATGCAGGCAAACCGACCTCAGCGCCGCCGGCGCCGCCGTGGAGCTAGTTCATTACACCGGCACGGACGTACCAGTGACTTCTGAGCTGGGGCCACTGACAGGTGGCAAGAAACTCTTCTGCGCTACAAAGAAGGAGGCTGGTGCCCACGGTGCCAAACGTCGGCAAACCGTTGTCTGTAAGTGTGCTTCCTGTTATGTTCTCTGCTGCTTCTCGTTCGCATGGCAACCATCGGGCCAATGTCACTCCCCAGCAAACTCTCGGGAATGATAGACTGCGCAGATGTCACACTCCCCAGCAGACTATCGAAAATCATGGACTGTTGACCCCGCGTTGGGACGCGGAGCCCGTCCAGACCGCTGCCTGCAGGACGCCCGGCCCTGCAAAGTTGTTGTGGAAGTTGTCTGGAGTTGCTCTAACAGTGGTAGGTGCCCGTGTACATGTCACTGAGTTAGCCCCCGGGCCGTGGCTGTCGCGGAGGTAGTGATGGTTGTCGAAGTGGCCGTAGGGCCAGCGGCGGTCGCAGGTGAGGTGGTGGCATTGGCCCAAGTGGCGCAGAGCGCAGCTGCGGTTGCGAAGCCACCGTTCGGTGGGTCTGGGACGGCCCCGCGAGCCCATGAGGCGCAATAGCCTGCACCGCGCCCTGGGAGGGCAACGCAGTCATCAGAGTGCCAGGCTGCATTGATGCAATCATCGCATTCTGCCAACAGGGATCGTTGGGGCCCCGATGTGGGACGCAAAAATGCCACAGTCAGCTGGCCGCATCGGTGCGGCCAGGCTCGAGGGTCCGCCGTGGTCGGAGCTGGCATTAGAACAGCCATCCAGGCTGGCTTCAGACCAAATGTCGGAGCAGGCGTCGGAGTCCCCTGGAGGCGGTGGAAAAAAGTGAACAAGAAACGGAAGAAGATCACTCCGTCAAGGCTCAAGGGGGGTGGGCTAGGGTCAGGGGGACGTAAAGGTGGGGTAGCGTCAGAGGTGGGGCTTGAGGAAGGTCGCTCCAGACGGCCCCTGAAGGAGGGAATTATTAGCTTCAAGCTCAGCTCGCTCCCTGAGGCCCCACCTTGGGATGATCCCCCCTTTGCTCGACAAGCGCGTTCCACTACTCGTAAAGTAACTGCGCGCAAATGGCCTGGATCCGCCATGGGGGATTCACGACACACTGCATCGAGGCAGACATGTGTTTTTTTAGACGTTTGCGAGCAGGCACCTGGCGAGTATTGGAGCGCACTCGGTGGTCTACGAGCCCTCGATGGGGCAACCGAGCTGGCAAGCCTTCCGCTGGCGCAGGCGCCCCTCGCTCTGCTTCCGCCGCCCCACCGCCAGCCTCCTAGGTGTAGGTCGGGCGTGTCCTCCTACAGACGGATTCTGGGAGAAAAACAAAACAAAAATCAAGACTAGTCGAAAGAGCACGAACAAATCTTCACAAGACTATTTTTTGCTACTCTTGAATATACCTCCTGTGTGGAGGGACATGCCCGACTTAAGCCTCGACCCCCGCGACCCCGGGGCCAGGCGCTTCCTCCCGAGCCGCTCTCCGACGGTCCCGCGGCTCGGCGGGGGCCCCCAGAGGCCAGAAACGCCCGAGAGCCAACGGCCTTCCGCCGTGATGTTCTGTTCCTCGTCGCGGGGAGGTCCAGGGAGGGCGAGACGGCAACCCTTCGATCCCTCGAAGGCGAGGCCCTTTCTGGGGCGCCACGTGCTGCTTCGGGCCGCCGCCGCCGCCGCCGCCGATGCCGCCACCGCTATTGCCAGAGTCGGGGGCCTCGGTTCTCGAGACGGCACCTCCAAAACTCCGACCACGGCACTCCCGGTTCCATTCAAAATTGGCCCCTGGACCCCTCCTGGGATCCACCCTGCCCGGCGTCGTCGTCGTCGTCGTCGCCGTCGTCGCCGCCGCCGCCGCCGTCGTCGCCGTCCCCCGTCAGGGTCGGCGGCACCGGTCGAAAGGCCTTCGCCATCGGCCCCCAGACCCCTAAGGGGGCCCACCCTGCCCAGCCCTTCGAGAAGCGCCAGGCCGTGCCGACGAGAGCCTCCAGAGCCAGCCGCCGGGAGGCCTCCAGGGAGCGCCGAGGGCTCTGGTGCGCCCCGAGGGCGAGGCCCCCCTGCTGGAGCGCTGCCCAGCGCGACCAGCACTATCCTGTCGCCCTTCTTCCAGCCGAGGCTCTTGCTGCGCACGCCCGAGAGCTTGAGGCCCTCCACGTCCACATCCAGGGACTTGCCCACGGGCACCGTCACCTTAGGTGGCGACAGGGCCCGAACTAAACGGTGCTTTTCGTTTCGTTTTGACTTCCTTCTCCGTCGTCATGTCGTCGCTCCGCCTTTGCTGCGAAACGAACTCAAAACGAAAACAGCCCATGACATCGACAAAACACCGTTTAGAGACCGAGGCCCGGGTGGCGACCTCCGAACCCTACCCCCCCTGGCCAGCGACTCTCCGGCATCGAAGGGGGAGGTGGGGGCAGGGTTCGGACTGGGCCACGTGCTCGACGCAATCCCGGAGGAGGAGGAGGAGGAGGAGGAGGAGGAGGAGGAGGGAGGAGGAGGGAGGAGGAGGAGGAGGAGGAGGAGGAGGAGGAGGAGGAGGAGGAGGAGAGGAGGGAGGGAGGAGGAGGAGGGAGGAGGAGGAGGAGGAGGAGGAGGAGGAGGAGGAGGAGGAGGAGGAGGAGGAGGAGGGGGGGGAGGAGGAGGAGGAGGAGGAGGAGGAGGAGGAGGAGGAGGAGGAGGAGGAGGAGGAGGAGGAGGAGGAGGAGGAGGAGGAGGAGGATGCGGCCCATCGAGCTGCCTGAATCGCTGGTCGGCAAAAGGGCAGGGCTCGGGCTTCGCCGCCGAGTCACCGTCAGCGCCGTCTCGATGAAGGGCTTGAAGTCCTCGGTGACCTCCTCCGCCGGCACCGTCTCGCCCTCGGCGACGAGGGCCTCCCACCTCGGTGGGCTCTCATCGGAAGCCTCTGTGGACCTCCGTGGCCCTGTCATGAACGTGATGTCGCCCGGGTGTCGTCCAGGTTTGGACCACCCCTCTTCCCCCCTTCGTCCGGGTTTCGTCCAGGTTTCGACCAGGTGTGGACCAAGTCCGACGAAGATCCGGACCAAAGGCCCCCAAACTGCAGGGAATTCTGGGACCCTCAGAGGCCCCCATGAAGGACCACGCAAGAGCCTGTGCTCCCGGTCGAGGCCCGCGCCTGATTCACTTATTAAGAAAATCCTGGAGGCCTTGAGCGGCAACTTGAGACCCAGAGCACGTCGGATCCACGTCGGATTTACGTCGGGTTCCCGTCGGATTACGCGGGGTTCCCGTCGGTTTCACGTCGGATCCACGCGGGCGGGATGCTTACGTCGGCGACGAGGTCGCACCACCTGTCGGGGAGGGCGCCGACTGGGAGAGAGACTCACTAGCGCAAGTGGGGCGCGACCCACCGTCATCTTCGGCATCATCACGTCGCCTTTCGCCAGGATGCTGGCGGAGGTGGAAGGAGGAGGAGGAGGAGGAGGAGGAGGAGGAGGAGGAGGAGGAGGAGGAGGAGGAGGAGGAGGAGGGAGGAGGAGGAGGGGGGAGGAGGAGGAGGACGAGAAGGAGGTCTTCGTGACCTTCCATGTGGTTTTAGCTCAGGGCGCCGCCTGAGCGCCGGCCTCCGACCCCTCGGCCCCGCGGCCCCGACCCTGGGCCCAGAGCGCGAAAAACGCGCGGCACGCCCGCGTGGCCCGAGCCCGAGGGACGTGGCACACCGATCCTGAGGTGCCTGCTCACACCCCGACGACGACGACGACGACGACGACGACGACGACGACGACGACGACGACGACGAAGACGACGACGACGGCGACGACGGCGGCGGCGGCGGCGGCGGCGGCGGCGGCGAGGACGACGACCGTCTCGCGCGTTGGCTTCTAACACTGTGTGTGTCGTTCGACCTTGAACGATCGCGGCTTTCCGCCCGCGCAAGATCCCTCCGTGCCGGCCGATTCTGGGCCATTATCGGCGTTCAACCGTGAAGGCCCACGCCGGGGTTGCCGCCGCGTCGGCACGACGCGAATCTACTGCATATCGATTCTGGACCCTAGGGTGGGACTGGCCATAATCGCTGCCCCGAAAAAAAAAACACTGAAAACGCCACAAGCATAAACTGTCGGAAGTCCGCGAGATTGTCTGGGGTCGACGCTGGACCCCACTCGTCTCGCTGGGGGTCCAGCGTCGATCCGAGATCCGCACGGACTTCAAAAAAACGTGCATGCAGTTGTCCTTCTTCGACGGCCACGATCGATATCGGTGAAGTTAGCGCCCAACGAAGCCTGTTCTGGAGGCTCTCTATCACGGCACTCGCGTCCTGGACAGTCTCCTCGGGAAGAACAAGCGGCGGCGAGGGAACCACTGCCACTGCCCCCACCCGCCCACCGCGCTGGCTCGTCCTTATGCTGCCAGCACTGCGAAAAGGGTTCCTTCCGCCTTCTCATTCTCCTTCGCCTCCTCCTCTCTCCATCGCTGGGCAGCGCGCAGGGAAGGGTGAGGCAGGATGATGATAGGAGGGTTTTTTTGTTTTGCCATCAACGGCAAGATGCAGCCCCATACACCACAAGCGGGGGGGCGAGACCCGCCAGGGGAACAAGAAAAAAAAACAGAAAAAAAACACACCGAATTGAATTAAGTCGGACCCTGATTCGTTGCCAACCTCACGAGGCGCCGACAGACTCGAGCTGGCACCCGATGCTGCGGCCAGGAGGCGCAAAGACTTCGCCAACACTCGCAGCTCTCGGGCGCCCTCCGCATCCTCCTCCGAAGCGGGGGGAGGCTCAAAAGGAGAAGCGGGGACCTCCTCCGCCTCCTCATCAGCATTGGCCCACGGGCCAACCACCAGCGAGACATCCGCCTTCTTCGGATGCCAACCCGTGGAGACCTGCTTCCAAGCGTGTTTACGTCCCTGAGCGCCAGTCCGGGGAAGGGGCTTGCACACCTGCCGAAGGCCCCGGACCTGGCCACCTCAGGTGTGAAACTTGCAACCTAAGCAAATGTAGACAGAACTGCCGTCACTGGCGTCGAGGAGCAACATATTATGCCCCAAAGCAGCGAACCTCGGAGCATCATAGCCTCGAATCCCGACGCCAACGCCTCCACGGCAAACTCCCACAGCTGGTTTCGCAAGAGAGCGGGCCCCACGAAAGCAGTTCGAACATTGCCAAAACCTTCCAGTCCGGGCCCAGGAGTGCCCAGGGCGAGGGGGCCTGAAAGCACCAGGACTGGGCTGAGGAGGAGGAGGAGGAGGAGGAGGAGGAGGCACACGAGCAACATTGGGGCCCATGTCGAGTTTCGGCCACAATGGCAGCAGCTTAGCGGCGAGCACGGCCACGGCGAGAGACACTTTACACTGATCGTCAAGCCGCTCGACGGCCACGCGATCAAACTCAGGGTGAAGCTCAACAGCCAACTTCTCAGAGCAGTCAACAGCAGCGTTGCCTTCCCGTAAGTATCGCGCCCATTCGTCTTCGCCGTCGGTCTCAGGCTGGTGGGCACGCACCTTTGAAACCGAGCACTGGTGGGAAAAACCTTGGCAGAACTGGGCCACTCCAGCATAGGTGCGTTTCGGCGAGAATTGAGCGTGAAATGGCAGACCGTGGAAATCTACACAATTCTGGCAATCTAAAAATAAAGTCGACGGGCCTACGCTCCATTGTTGCGCAACGCTGCAAGCGAAAAAATCCGCAGCCTGGGGAGTCTGCGGCGCCGGGCCCCAGACCGGGCCCCGGACACGGACCACCTCGACCCCTGCAACTCGATCCCAAACCGAGAAGGCCCAGCCAGCCCGATTGAGCTCAGCCACCAGTCGTCGAGTGCAAGACCCATCGCCAAAGATATCTCCTTGAACCGCTGTGGCCGCCAAGTCCCCAACTTGGCCATTAGCCCATTCAACCACAATGCCACCAGAGCTGGCTGGCGCAGGAAAGAGATCCCCGGGATGAGGAAACACACCGTAGCAAGCCAGGGCATCATCAGCAGCGGCAGCGAGTCTGCGGACATCGGGCTTGACTAGATCAGCTCGCTCATCTTCGACCGCGGTGCACTCCCAAAGCCGGTGCCTTATAGTGTCCCGAGCTTCTTTGCAAAGGTCACAGAGGTCGGCGATATCGTAACCTAAGCTGGCAGCACGAGCCCTAGTATAGATGGCATCGCAAAACAATGAGCGAATACACCCATGCTGGAACAGGCTGTATTTCTTGGACCCCAAAGAAAACAGGATGCCATCCACACAAGCCTGGGACGACATATTGAGACGGGCGCCGAGGTCCCACTCCAGACCCCGCAGAACAGCTTTCTTCAGGAGCACTTTAACCAGACACGGCGAAAACTCAGTCAGCCTCACAATATGGCCCTGGTCGGTAAGAAGTTCCGCAAAGGAAGGCATACTGCACGAGATTCTCTCACAGCTTTTCCTGAGAGCCGACACAGGCCCCGCCACATTGCGCCACAGCGGGGATTCGCCGTCGAAACTGTCCGCCCAGGCCTTCCGAAGCTCAGTGAGAGGGATGGAGTAAGGATAAAGGTGGAGGTGAGAGATCCACACTTCCTTGGCCCATCGAACGATGGGTGCGACAGCCGCGAGCCAGCCAGGGTCCTGATGCGCCAGGAGTAAGCACGTGAGGCTACGACCTCTGGCCGACGGTTTGAGCAGTCCCAGCCTGTCGCCTGAGAAGAAGGAGCTCGTAGTCCGTGACCCCGTGGATGTCGGCCCCGAAAAGACTAGAAGGCATAGCTCCGGAAGCAAAAACCCTCCGCGCAACACGGCCCCCCACAGTCTGCCGAAGCCTGGCCAGCCTGGACACGAAAGCTCGGGATCGCTGAGCACGAGCTTTGGCCTTGGACGACCGTCCCTTCCGCCTCCGGGACTTCCCCGCAGCATCATCCGCACCTAAGTTGCCCACTGAACAAACAAGGGGGCCAGCCAAGCCACCGAGGCGCCGTGCCAGCTGCCGGCCGAAGTCGAGGGAAGAGCAAATCGAGCACCGTTTCCCAGGGTCATTCGAAGTCTGAGCTCCCACCCCAACCTCCAGAGCATGATGGAGGGCCTCCACCAAAGGAGGGAGGTGAGTAAGAATATAAGTCTTGGATCCCGTGGCCGACAAACCGGAATCGTCGATGTAAAGCTTGACATGGACCTGGGCGGGGAACCGCAAAGCATCGAGCGCCGTCAAAGCATACACACGAATCAGACTGGTCGCGAAACTGCATCCAGCCACAATCCCGCGGCCTGCACAATAAGTGCCGTCGACGAATCCAGCTAAACGGAACAACCTGGACTGAAGATACATCGACACCGCGAGGTGAGCGATCCCGAGCGGGAACTCGAGCCGCCGACACCTATAAAGAAGTTCTTTCAAGCCAATGGTTTCGTAATACTCAAAGAGATCGAGCAAAACCGTCGCCGCCTCCTCGTTGGCCGCAACGCTGGATTCAGCCCAAAGCCTGGCGCCAGACCACGTCCGGGGCCCCTTCCAAGGGACCAGCCGCAAAAAAGGGCCGAGCATGTTTCGCTTCCCAGCTCTGGGCCAATGGGCGGCGGAGACGGCCGTAGGCCCAATAGACGGAGCAAAAATTGCCGATCGGTCGGAATCCAATCGACGCCTTCGGAATGAGGCACAGCAAAATGATCGCCAGCTGTCTGGGAACTAAAGCCGTCTGTTCCATAATGTAAAACATTCGAGCGAGGTCCAACAACAAATGATCACTCATCATATGGAAATGACGCATGTGGAACCCATCAGTGGCCACCGCGGTGTCTTCCTTGAACGCCCTGGAAAAAGCTCGAATTTCATCCACGTGGATCGGAGGAAGCTCCGGAAACAGCTCCCCGTGCTCGAACCAAACAGAAACCCTGCCGTCATCCCATAAATTGGCGAAGCGACGGCTCTCCGCTTGCAAGAGCGACAGCGGATCGCACACAATGGCGCCATCGACCGACAATGTCGTGGTCGGATGCCATTTCGTGGCCCCCTTCGCAACAAGGTGGACCCTCCTGGCTCCCCTGTCTGACCGATAAAGGAGCCACGAGCGAAACTCATGGGAAGATTTCTTTCGAGCTTGGGCTTCAACAACCGCCAAAGCAGAGCTGACAGAATCAAAAAATCGAAAGAAACCTGTCCTGCCACGCTCCTTCCATGGGCTCGTGCATCGGCAGGTCGAGGATGAGGGCCTCCAGCTGGTCCAAAAAACGGTGATGCTGCCCTAAGCCCGAGGCAACCTGAGGAGGTGGCCGCTGCAAGGAGACCCGCACTTGCTTGATCCCACGCTCGCAGCTTTATTTTTGGTGCATCAGCCGGGAAAGGATGATAGGAGGAGGAGGATGGGGCAGAGCAGGAGGGCGACGGGATCAGGACCACGGAGGTCTAGATGAGAGGAGCGGCGGGGTAGGAGGAGCAGAGGAAGGAGGATGAGAGAAGGACGAGCTGAATCCTGTCGCCGCCGCCACGGGCCTCCGAGGACCAGTTTCCCCCCCTGCCGTTGCCAATGGCTTTCGGGTCACACCTCGGCTCTCTGGCGGCCACTCGGGGCGATGCGGGCACACCCGGGAACGCCCTCGGCGAGGCGCAGCCGCTGGAAGGCACCCCGAGGCTGGACAGCCGCCAAGAGACCACGAGAACGCTGACAACCTCGAGGAGAAGCCTCCCCTCATCCCTGGGCCCAGCCCCTGCCGCTGCCCCAGTGCCAGGAGAGAGGCGGAACGCCGCCCCATCCACCACGAGAGGGGGCTGCGACGTCCCTGGAGACGGGACGGGGCGGGCACGAGTGGGGATCACAGCTGGCTCCGGAATCGACAAAGACATCACAGTCTCACCATCGGCATTCCAGACTGGCACACTCACGGACCCAACACCCATTACTGACCCACGTACGGATTGCCTTCATTCCATGCGCAGCCTGCTTTCCCCCCTATCTCCGGAGCGTTGATAACCTGCTTGGCCTGCGCCGACGCCCCACGCGGCGCCCCCGCGAGGGCGCCCAGCGCCGCGGCCGTGGCCAGCGGGGCGCCGAGCGCGGCATCGCGCCGGCCGACCGGCGGCTGCTGTGCGAACGCCGGCGCGGAGGCCAGCCGCTGCAGCACGGGGACGACCTGGCCGACGGCGGACGGCCGACGACAACGCCGACAAGCGACGGCCGACAACATCGGCCGACGACGACGACGACGACGACGACGACGACGACGACGACGACGACGACGACGACGACGACGACGACGACGACGACGACGACGACGACGACGACGACGACGGCGGCGGCGGCGGCGGCGGCGGCGGCGGCGGCGGCGACGACGACGACGGCGCTCGGCGACCAGGGCGACCACGAACCCCAGCAGCGTCGCCAGCGCGAGGCGCGCTGCCCTGCCCGACCTGCCAGGATCGGCCAGCACCGAATCGGGAGGCCAGATCAAACCGCAAGGTGTGTCGCGATCGGGCTGACTACCTACCAGACCACCCCAACCCAACCCGAAGACCCGAATTTCGGGTTGGGGGGGGGACGGGTTCCATATGTGTTTTCTCGAGGTTCCCCGACCCCCCCCAACTGGACATGGAGGGCAAATCGAGACCTTCGGGTTGGGTTGGGGTGGTTTGGTGGGTGGTGACGGGCTGCGCCGCCACGGAGCCTGAGCCGAACCGGTTCGGCCACCCCACGAGGGCACGGCAACGCCATGTGCAAGCACCAGGCCACGTCAGATCGGCGGCACATCGGGGTCGGCTCGGATCGGGCTGGCCGGGATCGACACCGGCCCTGAGGGTGAGATCCGACGCTGCGGAAAAAATACAACGCCTCGAAAAATCATGACTGGAGCCCTAGACCGCGTCTTTCTGCTGCATTCTTCCAGCCGCATCGATCCGTGATGGCCCCAGGGCCAGGAACCTTGCGAAAACTGGACCAGGAAACAAACGACACCACCCAATCCATGGCCCCAGGGAGCTCAGCGTATACCAGGAAATGTGACTTGGTCTTTGGCGTGGTATGCGCTAAGGCCCCCGATGGGCCGTAGCGCAACATAGAGGGCCGCAGGGGGGGGGTGTAGTTGGTTTCTTGGTCGAGAGAACGCCCGGGGTGCAAAAATTGCAACGCCTGGATCTGAGCGACATCGGATCGGCCGGAATCGACATGGGCCTGGCCTGCGTGCGCCCGCGCCGCGCGCCATACCCGCGCGCAGCCCCCTGCGGCCACGGTCGCGCGGCGCGGAGGGCCCTCTGCAGCCGCCAGCGCTCGCGCCGCGAGCAAGGGCCGGGCCGCGCCTGAGGACCAACTGGAGCCGCCAGCGGCGCCAAGGGCGGCGGAGGCGACGGCGGTGGCGAGGGGGTAGGCCAGGGGGCCAGTGGGGCGGGAAGGCGAGGGGGGCGAGGAGGCGATGGGAGGAGGGAGGCGAGGACAGAAGCGAGGAGGTTACGAGGCGGCGGGGGAGGAGGAGGAGGAGGAGGAGGAGGAGGAGGGAGGAGGAGGAGGAGGAGGAGGAGGGAGGCAGGAAGAGGAGGAGGACGAGACGAGGACGAGGGCGAGGAGGGAGGGAGACAGAGGAGGAGGAGGAGGAGGAGGAGAGGAGGAGGCGGAGGAGACGGAGGAGGAGGAGGAGGAGGAGGAGGAGGAGGAGGAGGAGGGCGGAGGAGACAAGGAGGAGGAGGAGGAGGAGGGAGGAGGAGGAGGAGACGAGGAGGAGGAGACGAGGAGGAGCAGGAGGAAGGGGAGGAGGACGAGGGGGACGAGGAGGAGGAGGAGGAGGAAGAGGCGTAGGAGGGGGGGAGGAATAGGGGGAGTGACCCAGCCACGCGCGAAGGGACGGACGGTCAAGAGCAGGGGACGATAAAAGAGACCGGTCCAAGAGATACTAGAAATCCTCTGCCCCTCGAGGGAGCTATCCCTACGCCCGCCCAGGAGGAGGAGGAGGAATGAGGAAGAGGAAAATTGAGCAGAAGGGAGGAGAGAGCGGCCACCGATGTCTCGACTGGCCCTCTTGTTAGAGACTCCTAGGACCCCCTGCAGTTAGCGAATCAGCTCACATATCTGGTGGTTAGCGAATCAGCTCACGTAGCTGGACTCCCCGTCGCACCCCAGAGCCAGCTACGCCAGCGCATCGAGGAAAACTGCTGGCGCCGGGGCCGAGACCAGCTGCAGGCAGCAGATTTCGTACACCCCCCTTCCTTCCCAGTCCCCCTCCCCTGTCTGTCCTGGCGGGCGAAGCACGGTATGGAATGAACTGTGCCGCGATCGGGAGCGCCTGCCCCAGGGCGGCTGGAAAGTTCATACCGCCACCTGCCGACGTAGGGGTATAAACTTCCCGGCCGCCCTGGGACAAGTGACCCCGATCCTGGGAAAGCCTACGGTAACTTTCGCAAAATTAGCGTGCAGCCCTGGCGGCCGCGGCGGCACACTATGCCCTGCGAGCGGATAGCGTCGCTCCGCTCTACGGGGCGGGAGGCTCGGAAAGGCTCGTGACGTCGACGCTTGGGGTCCAGGATGTGGATGGCGTGTCGCACCGAGGCGCGGTGGGCCAGAACCGGCGGAGCGACACGCTATCCAAGAGTTTCCGACCGTACTTCATACGGTGAGGGCATTGAATACGGAACCATATGATAATTAACCGCTCTCATTAGATAAGGAATCCCACAGTGTCTGAAGCCTCCTGGTCACATTCCTTAACCAACGACCCCACCGTACGGCAGGTTCGTGTCGTGCCGACTTCGACGTTGGTTTCTGACACCGCGGGGATCCTTCAACGTTGAATGATCAGCGACTTCCGAAACGTGAGATCGTTCAACATCGACCGAGTCTGGGCCGCCGCAGGCGTCCCGCGTTGAACGCTGGCGGCGGGGTCGCCGCCGGTCGGCACGACGCGAACCTAATTACCGTACTGTTCTTCACCCGCTGCGCGGGCTCCTCCCCCCGCCCCCGAGAGGCCCCACGGGCGCCTCCCCAACGCGGGCGCCTCCCCCCCCGCGGGCGCCTCCCCGCGGGCGCCTCTCCGCCTTCCCGCGGGCGCCTCCCCCCGCGGGCGCCTCCCCCCCTTCCCCCCCGAGAGGCCCCCCCAAGCGCCTCCCCCCCCCGCCCGCGGGCGCCTTCGTCTGACCTCACCCTCCCGCGGGCGCCCCTCCCCCCCCCCGAGAAGCCCCGCGGGCGCCGCGCGGCCGCGCGGGCGACCCGCGCAGGAGCGTGGGCAGGCGCCCATCGCCGGTCGGCGGGTCGCCTAGCGGCGGGCCGCGCGGCAGCGCCGGGCCGACGTCGTCTACGGCCGACGTAGGTCGTCGTCGTCAAGGTCGTCGTCGGCGGCGACGGCGGCGGCGTCGTCGTCGTTGTTGTTGCTGTTGTTGTTGGTGCTGTTCGTGCTCTTTCGTTTTTGTTGTTGTTGTTGTTGCTGTTGTTGTTGTTGTTGTTGGTGGTGGTGGTGGTGGTGGTGGTGTTGTTGTTGTTGGTGTTGTTGTTGTTGTTGTTGTTGGTGGTGGTGGTGGTGGTGGTGGTGGTGGTGGTGGTGGTGGTGGTGGTGGTGGTGGTGGTGGTGGTGGTGGTGGTGGTGGTGGTGGTGGCTGTGGTGGTGGCGGCGGCGGCGGCGGCGGCGGCGGCGGTGGTGGTGGTGGTGGCGGCGGCGGCGGCGGTGGTGATGGTGGTGGTGGTGGTGATGGTGGTGGTGGTGTCGTTGTCGTGGGTGGTCGGTCGGTCGGTCGGTCGGTCGGTCGTTCGGCCGTCGTCGTCGAACAAAAAACGCCCCCAGCGATGAAGAGCAGACGTAAGCGCCCCCCCAGCCCGATCGAGGAAGCAAACCTCCATCCGCCCCGATCGGGGACGAACAGGAGTCCCCCCCCTGACCGAGGAAGGAAACCTCGATCCCTCCCTCCCGCCGAGGCGAGAGCCCCGTCTACGACGGCCCTCGCCCGGCAGCCGTCTGTCCAGCGCACCTCCACGAGGGGGGGGAGCAGCGGGCGGGAGGGCGGCAGGGGCCGAGGGGCCTTGGCAATGCCACGGGGGTCACCACGTCATCACTGACGGGGTCGCCACCTCCTCCTGAAGACGGGGCCCCCTGCAGAGCACCCCAACCCCCCCAGAACTCCGACGTCGCGCTTCTGCCGCCACGTGATGCCCCGGCCCGGGGAGCTGGATCCCATCCCCCGGGGACCAGTTTTTCGGCCCCGGCTGGTTTCTGACAGTCTTGGGGCCTGGTGAGGACCCTGGAGGCCGAGAGTTCACCAAAAAACTTCTTGGACGCCACAAGATCGAAACCCCCAGTGGACTCCCCAACAATCCGATGTATGGATCTTCTCGTTACGGCGCCCCCAGAGGTCTCGACCGGTTCCCGAGGAGCGGCTTATTATCCTGAGTCGATTTTGAATTGCCCCGAGGCCCAACGAGGGCCCCCAGAGGCCGAAGGCGATGAAAAACCTTCGCATTGAATGTTTCAATGAGGCGAGGCGGCGCCGGCAGCCGCTCTCGCCCGGCGGCGGCCCTGGTCCCGCGGCGGCGCCAGACGCCGCTGAGGTGAAGCCACCCGCCAGCAGCCTGCCCACGGCCTGCGCTGAGAACCCGCCGCCGTCCTTAGCGCCCAGGCGCCAAGCGGACTGCTCCAACTCCTGCTCGCTCGCTGCTCCTTTGATTATCCTCCTCCTTTGATCCTCCTCCTCCTCCTTCTCCTCCACTGCTTTCCCTTGTAAATTTATCCTCTCTGACGCGTCCTGAGGCAAGTAGGAAAGGCGGGCCGGGCGTTTCGCTTGACACTGCCTTACCATGTATGGCCCTGAAGCTCGGAAATTCAAAGATGCTGTGCGGGTCGCTTCCAAAAAGTGGCTCTCGCTGAAGCGCCGCGCAAATTCGTTTAAACAAATTGCAAGAGCTTCACGGACTGGGGGCGGGAAGTTTTAAAAGCGTGGTTCTCGCCTTAGCGCCGCACACATGTGTCTCAAACATGTGCAAGAGTCTCGCGGAGTGAGGGCGGTTCCTTTTCGAAATGTGGCTCTCGCCCTACATTTGCAAGAGTCTCACTGGTTGTCGTGGCTTACGTACCAGAAACGGCGTTTGGGAACGATTCAGGATTGCCAGGGCGCAACATGTACGTTGGTTCGCGGTGTCGAAGTCCCAGGCACGGTGTTCTGGCACGATTCAGGATCGTCATGACTCAACAGTCAGGTTGATTCGCAGCGCTGAAAAGTACCAAAAATAGTGTTTTGGCACGCTTCAGGATTTTCGAGCAGTTGTCTCCCAACGGCGCACTTCCATCAGTTGAGATGGATCCTTGTAGGGGACTACGAAGAGGGAGCTTGGAAAGAGGGTTGGTTCCGACATCGTTGATGAGTCTTGGATTTACACTTGTCCTCCTCCTCCTCCTCCTCCTCATCATCATCATCATCATCATCATCATCATCAGCAGCAGCAGCAGCATCATCATCCACATTCTCCTCCTCCTCCTCCTGCTCCTCCTCCTCCTCCTCATCCTCCTCCTCCTCCTGATCCTCCTCCTCCTCCTCCTCCTCCTCCTCCCCCTCCTCCTCCTCCTCCTCCTCCTCCTCCTCCTCCTCCTCTTCCACTCCTGATCCTCCTTATCCTCCTCTATATGTTCCTCATCTTCCTCCATCATCCACTTCCCTTATAACCAACCACCGTGTCGCACCGCCCGACGGGTCGGTAGGACGGACCGGGTGGTTCAGCTAAGACTTCTTCCCCAGCTATGATCCTGAAGCTTGAAATTTGCCACAGCTTCACGGATGGAGGGCGGATGGTTTTCAAAACGTGGCTTTCGTCTAGCGCCGCGCATATGTCCTACAAGGTTGCATCAGTTTCAAGGGCCTCAAGCATGGAGGGCGGGTCCTTGTCAACATGTGGCTCTCGCCTTAGCGCCGCGCACGTTCGTCTACAGAGTTCGCACCCGTTTCATGGACTCGTTGGGCTGAACTCCCACGAATGGTGTTAGGGCATGATTCAGGATCGTCAAGACGCAACAGTCCCGTTGACCCGCTTTGTTGAAGCCCCAGAAACGGCTTTCTGGCACGACTTCGGAGTGTCAAGACGCAACCGTCATGTTGATTCGCGGCGTCGAATTCCCAGGAATCATGTTGTGACGCGATTGGGGATTATCAAGCGGCTATCTTTCAAGGCAAGATTTTCATAAATGACAACAACTTTTTACAGGGACCTACTGCACGAAGAGGGAGCTTGAAGTGAGGGTAGATTTCTCACAGTACTGGTCCTCTTCCTCCACAGTTACTCAATGTGAATACTACTCTGCTCTCTCCCCTGAAATTGTCTGGAGGATGTCCTGCCCTGTTTCCCCAATTAGGCTTGCCTCATGGGTTCTGACTTGGTTCAAGGTTGGTGTCTATTAATGTTACGTTGCCCGTTACTCGGAGGTTCCCCAGGTTCCCCGGGCTCCCCGCCCCCAGGGTCTCCTATTGTTACTTTGCCCGTTTCTCGGAGCTTCCCCGGGTTCCCCGCCCCCCGTGCCTCATGCCAAGCAATGCCAATCAATGCCAAGCAATGCCAAGCAATGCCAAGTCCCGAGTTCCCCGCCCCCGGTGCCTCATGGCAAGCAATGCCAAGCAATGCCAAGCAATGCCAAGCAACGCCAAGCAACGCCAAGCAAATGCAAGCAATACCAAGCAATGCCAGGCAACGCCAAGCAATGCCAAACAAGGCCAAGCAATGCCAAGCAATGGCAAGCACTGCCAAGCAATGCCAAGCAATGCCAAGCAATGCCAAGCACTGCGCCCATGCAATAGGATGCGTCCCCCTAATTGGGGTCGCGCCTGGCTCATGTTTGCACACGGGATGAAGCCGAACTGGTGTTCATATGGTTCGTTTACATTCCGATTGCTGGCAGTTTTTCAAAAACGGTACTCTCGCTGCAAACTGGGCCGTATTTTCAGATCGGCAGTGTGCTCCCATCGTTCAGAATGGTGATCCCGCCCCAGCGTGGGCTACTTGTCTGGATCCCACAGGCCTCACACATCCCACAGGTCTCGGAGGTCTCGCAGGCCCACAGGTCCCACTGGTCCCACAGGACCCATAGGTGTCGCAGGTCGTGTCGAAAGGTACCATAGGTCTGACAGGCTTCACAGGTCCCAAGCAGGTGTCGCAGGTCTCCCATGCCCCACAAGTCCCGCAGGTCCGACAAGTCCCGCAGGTCCCACAGGCACCAAGGAGGTGCCGCATGCCCCACAGGTCCCAGAGAAGTCCCCCAGGTCCCGCAGGTCCCACAGGTCCCGCAGGTGCCACAGGTCCCACATATCTCGCAGGTCTAACAGGTCCACATTTCCCGCGGGCCCCACAGGTCCCACAAGTCCAAACATAGGTCCGACGGGTGTCGTAGGTCTCACAGGGCCAGCTTCTCTTTTCAGACTGCGCATGACACGATGGCGTCTTTTGCTCCAGGTCGGCTATGACACGCGTCCGCGGATTGAGACAAAATCTGCGCAACGGGGACGGATGGAAGAAAGGGATGGGATGCCAGATATGGCGCGGACACACCTAGCGCACTTAGCTTGCCCTCCCTCCTCCTCCTCCTCATCATCCTCCTCCTCCTCATCATCCTCGTCGTCGTCATCATCGTCATCATCAGCACCATCACCAGCAACAACAAATCAGCATAATTGCCATCATAATCATCATACTCATCATCACCATCTCCATCATCATCAACAACAACATCAGCATCATCATCAGCAGCATCATAAACATAATCGTCATCATCGTCACAATCAGCAGCAGCATGATCATAGTGATGAGCATCATCATCGTCATCACCACGTTATCATCATCATCATCATCATCATCATCATCATCATCACCATCATCATCATCATCATCAGCAGCAGCAGCATCAGCATCATCATCATCATCAGCATCATCATCTTTATCCTCATCATCACCAGCATCATCACCTCCATTATCATCATCGTCATATTAGAGAGAGCGTGATGCACCGCCGCTTTACTGTGGGAAATTCCCCCCCCTCTTCCTCCAGAACCCGGGGGTGCCCCCCCTCCCCTCCGAAAATCCGCCCCCCCCCCCTGCTGGAACCCCCCCCCCTCCCCTCACCCGGCAAACCCCCCCCCCCCTAACCCCCCCTCTCCCCCTCGAAAACTGGGGGGTCACTACCGGTTCGAACCCCCCCCCCTCGAAAACCGCATGGGGGTCACTACCGGTTCGAACCCCTCCCACCCCCTCACCGCCAGCAAACGACTCCCGGTCCCTACCACCGTCCGCACCACATCCCCCACTGTTGTTCCCAGCACCACTGCCCTCACCACCACTGCCCCCACTGGTTCCACCACCGTCCCTACTGTCCCCACCAGTGCCCCCACCACTGTCGCACTGTCCCCAGTGTCCCCACCACTGTTCCCACCACGGTTCCACTCTCCCCACTTTCTCGACGGCCCCAACCACTGCCCGACTATCCCCACTGTCCCCACTGACTGTCCCACTGACTCCTCCGCTGTCCCACTGAGCTGTCCCACTGTTCCCACCAGACCCCACTGTCCCTATCACTGTCCCCACTGTACCTCTGTCCCATTGTCCGATCGCCGTCCTCGCCACCGCTTTCACCACTGTCCCCACCACCACTGTACCCTCCACTGTCCCACTGTTTCCACCACTGTCCCCACTGTCGCAACACAACTGTCCCCACCACCACCGTCCCCACCACTGTCCCACTGTCCCCACTGTTCCCACCATTGTCCTCACCACTATCCCCACCACTACCGTTCCCACCACTGTCCCACTGTCCCCACCACTGTCCCGCTGTCCCCTCACCACTGTCCCTACCACCACCGTCCCCACCATTGTCCGCACCCCCCCCCCCGGTTTTCGAGGGGGGGGGGTGTTCGAACCGGTAGTGACCCCCCCCCGGTTTTCGAGGGGGTGGGGAGTTCGAACCGGTAGTGACCCCCCCCCCCTTTTCATGATGGACTGGGGGGGGGGGGAGGGGTTCGAACCGGTAGTGACCCCCCCCGGTTTTCCGGAGGGGGGGGGGTCGAACCGGTAGTGACCCCCCACAGTTTTCCGCCAGCAGCGGTAGAACACGCTCTTTCTCACATCATCATCAGCAGCATCATCATCGCCATCACCATCAGCAGCACCATCATCATCCCTCTCCTTCTCATCCTACTACTGCTACTGCTACTGCTACTGCTACTGCTACTGCTACTGCTACTGCTGCTACTACTACTACTACTACTACTACTACTACTACTACTACTACTACTACTACTACTACTACTACTACTACTACTACTACTACTACTACTACTACTACTACTACTACTACTACTACTACTACTACTACTACTACTACTACTACTACTACTACTACTACTACTACTACTACTACTACTACTACTACTACTACTACTACTACTACTACTACTACTACTACTACTACTACTACTACTACTACTACTACTACTACTACTACTACTACTACTACTGCTACTGCTACTGCTACTGCTACTGCTACTGCTACTGCTACTACTACTACTACTACTACTACTACTGCTACTACTACTGTACCTACTACTCCTACTACTACTACTACTACTACTACTACTACTACTACTACTACTACTACTACTACTACCTACCTACCTACCTACCTGCGTACCTACCTACCTACCTACCTACCTACCTACCTACCTACCTACTACTACTACTACCTACTACTACTACCTACTACCTACTACCTACCTACTACCTACTACCTACTACCTACTACCTCCTACCTCCTACCTCCTACCTCCTACCTCCTACCTCCTACCTCCTAACGACTACTACTACTACTACTACTACTACTACTACTACTACTACTACTACTACTCCTACTCCTACTCCTACTCCTACTCCTACTCCTACTCCTGCTCCTACTCCTCCTCCTCCTACTCCTACTCCTACTCCTACTCCTACTCCTACTCCTACTCCTACTCCTACTCCTACTCCCTCCTCCTCCTCTTCCCTCCCTCCCTCCCTCCCTCCCTCTCTCGTTCCTCCTCCTCCTCCTC